TCCTTTGAGGCTAATGCTTTATGCTTCAGAAGAGGGTACAGAAGAACCCCACGGCTGTAGTGAAAGGTTTGGATGAAGGGCTGTTTTTTTGGGGACAAGGGATGGAATAGGGAGCCAAGCATTGCAAGCAGGTTTGAACTTTCAATTTGAGTATGCAAAATCCGGGAAGAGCGTTCAAACCCATATAAATAAAATTAGAAAAGAGAAATTAAAAAGAACCCAAACCAAACAAAAAGCCCCTCAAAATAGTCTTATTATCTCAAGCTTTTGAGAGCAATTAGGATTAAATCAAAGTCCTGACCACTAATAATGTTTTAATACTGCTTTGCAGCTATTCCCTGTGTTGTGGGGGAGTGGAGTCATTGGAGTGGCTGTGCAGAGCAATGTCATCCTGGGCTGCGGGTCCGTCGGCGCTATGTACAACAGGAGCCTCAAAACGGTGGGGAGCCATGCCCAGCTCTGGAGGAGAAGGCTGGCTGCCTGGAATACCTGACTTACCAGGGGGAGGACTGCGGCCACGAACATGGTATTCTCAATTTCATCTCTCTGCTGTATATTGTGTCCATCACAGCCATCATAAATTTTACTGACCTCAATGAACAGCAAAAAACCAAGCATCTATCTGCAGTTAGCTGGTTAAAATTATAATTTAGAACTTTCTACTGTCATATTGCTTTTTATTCAATAATTTGTTTTTCTACTCTGGCTTTTCATAATTTCTGTTAAGCAAACAACTAAGCTGTGTGCATTCCTTCAGTTGAATCTAAGTATCAAATTATCTCTGTGCGAAGTTAGAGCACAAATTCAGTATGAAACAGGAAATAGTACTCCTTGTGGGATTCCAGTACATCCTATTACCTCACTGGCTAGATGGCATGCATTATTAGATTTTTTTTCTGAATAAAGAGAGCTTAGCTGTAGGGAATGGGGTTGAGGTCCAATGTTGCCAGCCTTTTATCACGTTTTCAATAAAGTGAGCCAGCATTGCCATCCACAAGCTCCTGATTCATTCACCCACTGTTACAGTAATTGAAATATGACTCAGCTGTGCCTTGCTGTTTTACCATATCCGTTTTTTTCCTCAGTCCCTGCTTTCATAACTACCTCTGAATACGGTAAAGAAAGAAAAAGACGAGCAGCATCTTCTCTCTGGCCTTCAGACAAAGAAGCAGCAGGGTAATCTATTTATCATATGTATGTAGGTCATCTTGTTTGGTAGAAAACAGCTGTCTACAGAGAAATATGTAATTAAATTTAAATGCAATAATTAAACAATAAGCTATAGCTTGTACTGGTTTTCTCTCCCGCAGTTTATTTGCATGTTCTACATATTGTTTATTACTTGCTAATTGTCCTGAATCAGACATTGGGATCATGGCAGATCTTTTGAAAGCCAGCAGTAAACAATGCTAAAACAAAGCCGAATGTATCCTAAGTGTAAGTCTGAGAAATTAGATGTAGGTCTCTGAACAACGTGGGCTGAATGGGATTGGTCTCAAGAGACCTTTTTTTTTAAACTGTTTGACACAAGCAGTAAGAAATTTTGTTTAGTTACCAGTAGAGATAGTAATGAAGTTTAAATTAGGCTATTACTTGGTCTGTAATGCTCATAATGTTTTGTCCTGTGCTATTTTTCCTAGAACAATAAAACTCATTGATATTCTAAAGTCTCTTTTCCATTTTCTTTCAGCAGTATAGAAGAAAAAATATGGGTTACTGAGATCTGTTTTTCAAAATAATTTAAGAATACAGAACATTACCAGAAAGTGAGATTATACATAAAACACAGGACTGGGGCATAGAATGAGAAATAGTTTGCATAATGTTTTCCAATCCACTGATTGGGCTAGGGTCAGGAGATTTGTTAGCAACGATGATGTCTAACTTGCACCACCCTTACGATATGTAAGTCCATTCAAAGTGCCTACTTGGCTCATGCTTGATCTCTCATAATTTGGTGCTTTCCCTCCTGAGCAGATACTGTGTGGAGTTCCGGACGGAATCTCTTTCCCAGCAGTGTGCTTTGGAGACGCGCCCGCACGCGCGCTGGATGCAGTACCTGCGCGAGGGACACACCGTGTGCGTGGCCTGCCAGCCGCCGGCCATGAGCCCGGCCACGCGGCGCTGCTCCGGGGACGGCCACAGCGCGCACGGGTAAGCCAAACCCAGCACCGCACTTCAGACTTCTCAGGAGCTCGTTAAAAGCTGCATTTATTGTAACTACAAAATGGAACAGCTCAAATCATTTGTAGAGCTCAGAAGGTTTTATCCTTTCGCTTCTCACAGAAATTGCTTTTAAAACCTAGATAAAATTGGGAAGTCATTTCAACATAGGAGTTTAATGCTTTATTCACTATTGTGAAGAAGTGATGGAACTTGTGTAGTGGAAGAGGACATTTTACAGCTGTGGGCACTTTAACTTAAAAAGTGTATTTCCTGCCATAGTCCAAATCTGCAGATTTAACACTGGTGGATTGGTACTCCCCTCAAGCATATATACCTGGTTTTTAGAAAAGTAATTGTGAAAGAAGATATTTATTATTAAAGTAGATACTTATTATTCAGAACTGATTTTTATTTGATCCATACATTTATTAATATGCATACTACTTAATACCTGTACAGCCAGCTGCTCAACCCACCATCCAGGATATTTTTACTTAGGAATATAATGTCTGCTCCAGAAAGCATTTTAAGAGCTAGATGAGTTTAATAAAGCCTTACATGATTAAATCTTCTGACATTTTATACAACACAATCCAGTAACACTAGATACACAGCTTTACTCCTCTAATTTCATATTTATTCTCATTTCAGAGATAAAATCTTACACTGGGAAGCAATTGGCAACTCTCAGTGCCAAGGAACCTGGAAGAAGATCCGGCAACTGGACCACTGTTCCTGTCCCCTGGTGCATAGTTTTATTTTTACATAAAAGTTTAAAAGGCCTTTAAAATTGCAACAAAAAGACTAAGAAAATTAACACCAATGCCAAGAAACCTATATATTTCTGCTGCATTTCTGGAGCCTTAACAAATTTTAAATGAGTCAGGACTTTGGCAGAATCATTTCAGGAAATTCTCTTTGCCTTAATACAAAATGCGAAGACTGATCTCTGTATTAGAACACTAGAAGCATGTTACCATGTTTCTCTTTTGTAATTAAAGAATTAATGTTTCTAACCATAGTAGTTGCTTTCCTTAAGTTCTCCATCTTTACTGGCCATAGCCCTGTCTCCAGGCAATGCTCCTACTCAGTAGTGAGCCAGCCAAATATTTTCAAGTCTGAGAATAGTTACTGTCAATATTTAAAAGCAAGGGTGAATAAAAATGAAGTTTTTGAAAGCTAAAACTGATTTCAGTTTAGGTACTTTGTTTGTCTCCAGTATCATCTAGACAATTTTTTACACTATAATTGTGTAAGTATTCTTCCTCTACACCGCAGTTTTCACATTCAGCCACCTTCATGAAGACATAGACCTAGTCAGCATTGTTAAAGAATTGGTCTCCTCAGAACTTCATGTCAGTAATACACAGTCTGACTTTTCTGGCAGTTGAACTTGGACAAGACTTGGTGACTAAGGCCTTGGCTAAGAGTAAAAAAATTACTTAATTGGCTAAGCGTAAAAAAAATTACTTATTACTAGTTAAAAATGCTCATCTACAATGATTAACATAAGAACCTGCAACATCTGAGCCCTGGCAAGACTGCTATGCAGGTTGAGAAAATTTCCTGTTAAGACAGGCAGCATCTCCATGCAACATAAAGACTTCCTGGAAGAAGCCATAGAGTCTCTTAGCAAGAATGAGGAAGTGGATCTGCTTGAGGTTCTGTCCACAATAAGAGTGTGTTGTGAAACAAACCTTTCTCAGAGAGCTTTGTTTTAATATGACCAATTCAGACAGGTGCTTGTTCTTAAAAGGTTCTTGGAAAATAAAAACTTTAGCCAAGAAAAAAAGGTACAGAAAACATCTGAATTCAGGGGATTTCGCTTTTAAAAGAATGCTGTATTGTGTTAGTTCAAGTCACTAGATTCACACCAGCATGACAGTGGAAAGCATGAGTTTTCTGAGATTGTGCAAATCTCTTCCAAATGATCTGAATCCAGAGATACAGGCTCGTGCCATCATCCATCTGTTCCAGTCTCCCATGAGCAGGAGAGTTGCAGTGGCCAGCAGAGACCTTGATAGTGACCTCCATTAAAGTGTATCTTTGCTGTCACTGACAGTGTAGACTCATTATTGAGCCCCACTTTGGCCATGTGTTTTTGAGCTTTCCCTTTCCTGCTGGTCTGGAAGAAGGCACTGATCAAGACAAGGTAAGTGGCACAAGCTAACCAAGAGATGCTAAGTGCTGGTATAATAGGGTTCCTTTCCATGTAAAAAACTAACCAGTCCCTTTGTTACTTAAAAATACAACATTATATGAATTTATGGTTTTTAACTGCAGGAAAAACCACAACAAACCATCATCTCAGAAGAAAATTAGCAATACTACTAAATACATACTTTTTGGTAAAAGTTACAGAAATGTCAAGTCTGACCTAAAATTCAAAGTGAAGCAAAACACACTAGAATGGGTTATATGGCAGGAAGTGAAATTATGAAAAGGTCAATCTAAAAAGATATACAGCCCTTCAAAAATACAGAACACTTGACTTTTTATTAGCCTCCATTAAATTAAAGATGTTGCCAGTCAGATCTAATACCCCTATTTACATAACAGACATTTCTTAAATCACTGCAAACATTTTCACATTTCAGAATCTTAGGTTATCTCTTATTGCATGTAGCAAAAAAGGCCAGACTTTACATTTAAGTCATCATTACCAGAGTAGGTAAGCTTACACAAATGTTTTATACCCATTACTATTCTGTTTCATGTTTTATGACAGCAGCACTGCTGGACACTCTGAGACTAAAATAAGATGTTATTCTGAAAAGCTAGAGTAGGTCTTTATGTAGGGAAAGGTCAAGAAGAGTTGGTTCCTGTAGCCCAAATCAACTTTGTTTGATCTTGCTCAATGTTCTCCACCGGTCTTTCAACATGACACTTGTTCGGTTGTTGAAGTTACCATGGGCTAAAATTTTAGCCCAGTTACCCACTCCAAACTCCCTTACTCCTGATTTCAGCTCCAAGTCTTCTTTTGGAGTCCATTTCTAGGGCAAGAAAAACACCAGATATATGAACAGAGAAAGGTATTAATGTGAGAGCTTATAGCAAATATAAAAGCAAGTTTTCAAACAGCTCTCTAGTTGTAAGAGTACACATGTCAGAGGGGTTTTTTGAGCACCATATCTTGAAACTAGAGATAAATGATAAATTTGTAACTGAACCTGTAGAGCTTTATGGGGGCTCCCAAAGGGGACCTGTGTTAGTAAAGCCTTGGGTTAATTGGAGTAACAGGATTGGAAGGAAAAAATGTTTATAGAACATTACAAGAGCCATAAGAATTGTTAATGGCTGAATCTGACAGCCTAAAATTTATAGCTTGGTGGGATAAAAGAAAGGTTGGTTTCCCAGAGTATGTATAAAACCTCTTCCTATAAGTAACAGATCACTTCCAACTATCAAATGGATAAATGGTGTTGGCTACAGAGCAGAAGGGAACATTAGAAAATCATGTTATGGCTCACCTTTACAACTGAAACCTTCAAAATTGTACAGAACTGGGCACAAAGGGAAATGCAGGTGCAAAGGAATAGCCTCAGCTTAAAGCCAGCTAGTAGATCTGGTAAGTGCAAGGAAATGTGAATTACAGGGGAACAAACATCACTTAACTCTGAAAATAATGTACCCAATGGAAATGTAAATCTTATGGCTGCTGCCATTACACAAATGCATACCCTCCTGCTTGTGCACAAAGAGAAGATGAGCAGCGGGAACATCCAACCAATATGACTGTCAGTGGCACAAGAACCCACATCCATGGAAATAGGAAAAAAAATAAATTTATTTCTTAATGACGTGGAACCCTTTTGGGATCTTTAAAAGATTCTGCTCTTGTAAGCATCATCAGTACAGTCTCTGGCCAGGTGACAATTTTAAGCACTATTCTGCATGGTTCCACCCTTCTGTTAAATTTAAACTTCTAAAAATTGCAGCAGGGCTCAGACATCAAAGACAAGGGGGAGTCTCTGAGGGGGAGGGAACTTAGATAACATTCAGCCTCAAAACTGTAACAGATCAAAACTGTATCCTGGTTTTTCTCCAAAAAGGGAAAATGTGGCATCTACACAAAGTGCAAACTGAGGTGTGTAAAGACCAAACTTCAGATCTCCAAGCTGGATTTATTCCAGCTTAATGCAAGTATCAGGGCCTTTTCAGTAAACTCTGATCACTGACAAACCTCACTAAGCAGTGAAAGAATTACAAGTAATAGTAGTTCAACTGTATTTCTAAACAGTTAGGAACCTAAAACTTCTCTAAAGTAGTTTACCCTTTATCAAAAATACTTCCTTTTTCTAATTCTTCCTGTTCCACAGATCTTTTGCAACATTAGCAGTGAATAGCTTTTTTTTCTACTATTATTAAAAGGGCAGAGATTCCATTGGAATAATGTAGTTCATCCCATTTCAGAGCATGCCAGAAAACTTTACTAAATAAAATCTTTATTCAACTAACACAGTTATGCTTGACCTACAGCACCAGATAATTCAAATACTTTCATCAAAAGAGACAATCACAACCCTTGTTACTTGCAATGATTAATTACATTTGCTGTTAAAAGGGTTGTTTTTAGCTTGTTTTTATTCTTAATTGCTCACACTGAGCTTTTAAAAAAAATAAATTTCTTCCATTTATTGTATAAATGAGGGCCTGCTTTACAGGTAAATCAGGGACTGACTCTTTTCACTGAGGAACAGAACAGAGCAATAACTTGTCCCCTGCCCCACTCACTGACAAGCTCTCTGTCCCCTCTGGGACAGAACTTATGTAGATTCCAGCTTTGCACTGTTACAAGAGTGGTTGAAAGCCTGGACATAATGCAGCACTACGCTTGAGCTCACATCAGCACAGTGCCTGGTCCACAGCAACAATGTGACATCTGGCCAGCTCTGAACACCAGCAGAGCAAGCTTGACTTTGCCAGGCAGAATATGAAGACATTCTCTCACAAATCTGAAGATCTTGTTATTCCTTTGAGTCAGTTCTGCTCTAGTAACCTGTCTTCCTTTATGCATAAGGGGACTCTGCTCTGAGTCAGAGCTTTTTCTCCTTCAGCTTTAAATATATGATTTTTTTTTTCCATACAACTCTGACAAAACTCTAAACACCCAGATTTTCAGACACATTGCTAATTTAAATCACGTATCATCCAGATTTTAGACAACTCAAAGGACTTGCAATATAATTACTGGATATAAAATTGAGTACAAACAGTTCTCTAAATTCTGTGACACTTGCATCCCCTAATTTAGGAATGAGAAAATAAAGTGTGTGTCCTTTCAATAGCACTGCAGATTGTTCTATGCAGCTAACTGAAAACACTGCAATGAAAGGCTGAAAATGGGCACTGAACCATTGCAATGAAATGCCATTTACAAAACAAGAGCAAACAATGCCAACATTGAATGAGGGACTACATGGAAAAGGAAGTTCTAGAAGTCAACAGCTTGACATTCATTGCATTCTTTCATGCATGTGGACAATTTTATAACCCAGATGATTAAGCAGAGGAGCAGATTTATTGTTTAAAAGGCCAATTATCATTGCTTTCTATAAAACATTTATGAGGTTTTAGTGGTAGGGAGTAAGGCATAAATATAACAGAGGAACAGATGCCTACAACTTTTCTAAGTGTTGAAAGAAACACAGTTCTGAATCTTAAGTTTCATTTAAGTTCTTTTAACATTTTCAATGCCCCTGTCAGATGCAGTTCTCTACAAATTTAGTCTTTATATTTCAATCAAGGTTGACATATAACAACATAACAACATAATTAAGCAAACAAGTCCTATTTTTTTCTAACAAGATGTGTGTGTAAGCCCTAGACCTAGACACAGTGCTTGTAGGTGACCCAGTAACAGACTAGCTCAGCACAAAAATATGTGACTACAAAGCTTTCATTAGCTCTGTGTCATTGTGGTCCAAACAGTTTAATTCTTGATGTTGAAAACAAGCTTGATGGAAGGGCTCATGCTTACCAGCAACTGCCTAACAAGGTACCTATCCAAGTATATGTGGGAATAAAGTAATTTTGTCTTTAAAAGCAAAAAGCAAATCCAGTAAGTGATGCTTTTTTTTTTTTTTTAGGGCACTGGTTTTATCTGCAGCTTTTAAACAGATTGTCAGTGATCTAACTATTCCTGAGATTTGTGAGAAAGTGAAAATCTCTTTATAGGGGCTTAAACTTCAAGAATGAGGTCTCATTTGAGGACAGCATGTAACTGAAGATTTAATCAGTACATCAACTTCAGTAAAAATGCTTAAAGAAATAGGAGGAAGTACAACTCTCCTCCGGAAAAAAAAAAAACCAAACCAAAACAGATTTGGTCCTCCCTGTTATGTGAAAAAGTGAACACCAGAAAAATGAAACAGCTCACATCAAAATGGATATATGATAACTTGTATATAACTTGATATATAACTTGTACTATAATCTAAACAGAAAGACTCCATGTTGCTTCCCAAGAGATATTATGAAGAGGAATCCAACAATGGCAATACACGTATTCAATGGTAATTTCTTCAGTTATCATGATAAAATGCTGAAGGCTCATGAAGGAAAATTTGCTATAATCAAAAATTAGCTTGAAAGACCCCAACATCAAAGCAACTTCCAATTGCATTCTATTAAGGCATACACTTCTGCACATCCCACCAATGGGAATTCTAGCATTAGTGAACACAGGAGGGTTATTTTAATGTAATTTAATGAAGTAGGCTTACCCATGAAGAGTGCACAAAAGATCATTTGAAATGTAGCATTATAAGAAGACCCTACTATTTGGTTTATAAAAACTAGAGTAGTTTTCCAAGTAAATATGTTTTTGCATCACATAAAAAAGTATTGAATTATAAAACTGCTAAATCTTTAAGCTTCTAAGCTGGAAAATGAGTTGCCTCTGATAATTGCCTGAAATTCTCACAGGCAAATGACATCCTGAATTCTTTAATCCAAACTGTGGAAAGAATTTTTTATCTCACACTAAACTTTGGTAATGGTGTATTTCAACAAATAAAAGCCTTGGAAGCATTAGCAACAGCAATATTTGAGACAGTAAAAATATGTTATATTTCCTGTCTCTAAAAGAAAGGGGCTGTAACAATTTCAGGAACTGTAGCACTTGAGTAATCTACTGAATCTTAAATCTAAGCACTAGATTTAAAAATTAGATTAAAGCTGAGAAAAAAAATCTGTGCATGCAGATTCATTTTATCTCCGTTTAGAAGAGAAAATAGGTACAAACCTGTCTTCTTCGGCTATATGCCAAAGAAACTTCATTTTGTCCCACATTTTGCATGCTGTTAAGACCTAGAAGACAGTTAATATAAATCCAAAACAAAGAGGAGTCAACATCAAGGCAGCAGTTTTGCATTTTACCATTTAGACCTGACAAGAATATACACTATTTTGATATGCTTTGACAGATTGGGAAAATTTCAATGTCTCTTTACATACATACTTTTATAAATGAATACACGTGAATCTTGCCATAGTACAAGGGCTACAAAAAATAGGATATTCAAAAAATTCACCCTAATTTCTATACAATAGAGTTCACAGAATTATATTTTAAACACTTAGATAAAAATTGGTACATAATAACAAAATATTCGATTTTGGAAAAAACATTTTTACTATATGCATGACTCTCATTTTACATTGAATGGGAAGTAAGAACCAATCAGAACTATGATTCTTTGAATACAAATTCCATCATTTCCAAGTAGATGTATCAGGTTTTAACTGTGGCAAGCATTCAAGGCATCTTAAAAGTTTGTCCTTCCATATACAACATGGCCATGTGCAGGAACTATAACATCATCTTGCTGTGGTAAGAGGGTACTAATGGTCTTAAGAACTTATAATTATTATATTATCTGTGTTAGTTTTTAAGAAGTAATACCAGGAAATCACACAAACATCCTGACTTTGTACATTTTACAATACAATTTGTTTTTCAGCTAACTCCTTTAGTTCTTTCCCAATCAAGTTATCTAGCACAGAATTCAGAAAGAAATGAATTTCAGTACTCCTGTCAGCTTTCTTTGGGACAGAAAACCCTAAGTCCTGTAAACCAACCAAGCAAATCAGAAAATAGTGAATAATTTTGCAAAATTAATTGCTAGAGAACATTAAGCCACTTCACAGCTTCCTAAATATGGCAACCACCAAATTTGCATTTGTGCAGAAACCATACACAACTTTGAGTGTTTTTATCCACCACAATCATTTCTGCATTAATCCAATCACATGGGAAGGCAGTTAGAAATAAGTGTTTGACATGACTGTTTTGAAATTGTAAAAATAAACTAATACTCACTCTGAAGAGCTCTGCTCTCTTTGGGCTTCTGTCTTGAACGTCTCCTGCAAAGAACACAGATCTGAAGTAAAAATACAAAGTACTTGATGAAAAGTCTGTGACCAGAGCAATAACACACATTTTTTACCTTGCTATGGGTTTTTTTATGACTCCAGATGACTGACTTGTGATACACTGTTTCTCTTTCACCAACCTTAAAAAGAAAAGACAAAAAAATTATTTCCTAGGCAGCAACTTGCCATTTATATGATTCAACAATATTTTAATGAAAGAATCCTAAGACTTCTCTACAGAAGCAGTGGCATAAAATAACTGACTGCTTTAATGCATTCACCCTCTTAACCTTGCCTCCCTATACCTGGAGGAGAAATACAGAATCTGCCGAGTTGGAAGGCACCCACAGGGATCACTGAGTTCAGCTTTCAGCTCTGCACAGACATCCCCAGGAGTCACACCATGTATCTGAGACCACTGTGCAAATGTTTCTTGAACTCTGTCAGGTTTGGTAATGTGACCACTTCCTTGGGTAGCCTGTTCCCAAGACATTTAAGTTGAAGATAAGAGGCATTTTGCACTTCTATTTTTCATTAGGAATTATTTCCATAGGTATTTTTGAACAAGTCTTTCATTATATCTCTCAGATGTGTCAGGAGCTGCCCTTCTAAAAAAACAAATTAAAAAAAAATCTTATGACTTGTCTTCCTCTATACTGTCTGCGTCAGTGTTTTCTTAACTAAATGATGCCAAGTATTCCAAGTAGAAAAATGAAGAAATACAGACTCTATCCCAGCTAAAGCCAGCAATTTATTCTCCCTGAACAGGTGGTGATAAACCTAGAATATTAGCATTTTCCAAAATAATCATATCATTGTTCTGAAGGTTTGCACTGTCAGAATCATGAAGCAACATAACTATTTCCCTTCACACTAGTATCATTAAGGGGTCAGCTGTAAGAAAAATGTAAGACTGATTCCATTTCCTAATTCTTTTTCCTCTTGAGATGACCTATAGCCTGAAATTAGAACTAAAAGGAGTTCAATCAAGCATTAAAAAAGCAAAGTCTTTCTTGTCCTTATATTATTATAGACTGACAGCCGTTAAAACTGCAAATTGTGCAACCTCACAAATAATTAAACTTAATGACAGGCTTTTTCATGCAAATGCCAAAAGTAACAACCACAGAAGAACATAAATTTAAAGAAAATAGGGAATGTGCTTGTAGCTAATTTTCTATTGGACAGCAATTTGGAATTTAGTGCCCCCCCTTTTACCTACTCTTTGATCTACAAGTTTCATGTTACCATCCAAGTACATCCCTTAGCAGTATAATACTTAATACAAACCTTTGTTTTGTTTCCAAATCACTTTTGCCATTTTCATTGACTTCCACAGGTCTGTTCTGCAATGTTGTTGCTCCCAACCCTTTAGACACCACATGTTTTGTGGCTTCCTGTGAGAAATGTAATTGATATCTTAAAATTAAAGCCAGGCAGTACCTAGATAGGAGTTTGCACCAAGATTAACATGCATACTTTTTATTAGAACTAGCAGTGCTTATTTGATAGACATTTCAGAGGAATTAACGTTAAAGTAAGTAGTTTCAAAACAACTTTAGCATGTTAAGTTGAAATCCATAAAGATCTTTATCAAGTAATAACTTGGAGAAATTTTAGTCATAGCTGCAACTGATTTTTATAGGAACACAAAGAAATACAACAAATAGTTGCATAATGAGTAAACTTAAGAATGTGTTAAGTAAATTACAGAACTTAACTAAGATTGCAAATACTATCAAAGTACTCCAAAGTCTGGTTTTTATAACTAGGTTAGAAACTAAAACTGACAGGTGTCAAGTTTATCTAGTTCCATAGCACATGGCAGGACAAAGCATACATGTAGCATGTTCAAAAGATATGTCTGAGCAGACTTAAGGCTTGTAATAGAACCTTTTTTGCACTGGCAAAAAATATTTCTAATATATCCTGCTCAAACTTCTAGCCACAAACTAAGATTATTTCTCCTCCATTGCCAAGCAAAGGAAGTAGTAAATCATTACTCCTTATAGAGTACCTAAAAGAGGTCTCCTACACTGAATAATGATGGGACAAACTTCTTACCAGGGCATGTAGAGGTAGGACAAGAGTTAATGGTTTTAAACTAAAGGAGGGTAGATTTGGACTAGATTTAAGGAAGAATTTTGTTTTGTTTATGATGACAGTGGCAAAACATGGAACATGCTGCCCAGCAAGGTTGCTGTCTGATCCCTGAAAACCTTCAAGGCCAGGTTGAATGGGGCTCTAAACAACCTGATCTAATTAAAGATGTCCCTGCTTATTGCAGGGTTGCTTATTGTGGGTTGGACTAAACTACCTTTAAAGATTCCTTTCAATCCAAATTACTCTATGATTATACTTCTACATCTGGCACTAGAAGAAAGAGAAATTAGCAATTAAAGCTAGAATGTTCTTCTGCAGAGAAGACAGCGTGCACTGCTGGGAGACCTGTGTGCTGCACAGAAGTGGGAATTCCTCACAAAGTTGTCTCCTCCATGTGCCAGAATAACTGTTCAAAGTAAGATTTGCAGTGTGGGTGCAGACAGTAGGACAAACATGCAGGCAGTGGGGATGCAGGCAGAGGGCCTTAGGCATGTTTAGTATGGAATTCTGGGCCTTCTCTGACACCTCCGAGCCTCCACTTCCTCTTAGACTCAAAGACAGAGCCTTGAAAAGTAAACTTGAAAACTGACATTCAAGTGAAAGCATTAAAAAGTATTCCTTGTATTATACTTTGAGTGTATGTAATAAGTTGTCCAGTCTCTCTGGTAAGAGAATGAAAAACAGAGAGGAACTTCAGGATTGTTTATTTAAAATTTGCTTCTTATTACCTTTAGACGTCTGTGCTTTTGTAATTGAATAATTCAATATTCTTTTATACGAAGTAAACATAAGAGAAATTCTTTACAATCCTCCTGAAGATGAACTGAAGAAGGAATGTTGTTCTTGCCAATTTTAAATCACTTTTGAGCAAGACTGTTTGTAAGGAAGATTTGTATTTACAGGAAAACAGCAATAATAGCTTGCTATCTCCTAACTCCCCTGACATTCCTAAAGCTTTTATCCAAATTAACAGGTCTTGATTTTTTATTTTTAGTATGGGAAGACGTGTAGGCTTAAATAAAATAAGCATTAAATATAAAGCTACATTTTAAAAGGAGTCCCATATCAGAACTGCATCTCTTAAGCAGCTCTTGTTTTAATTATACTAATGTCCTAACTATTTTTCTAATCAAAAAGTTGTGGGAAAAACATTCATAGAAGATATTTAAGAGGAGTCTCTTTCCTACTAACTTTCTCCAAGACATATTAATTAAAACAAGAAGGTTGAAAATAAGACAATCCAAAGGAAGGCAAAGTTTCCTTTTCATCTAATACAGTCATTGAATATTGCCCAAACAACCCCCTTGGAAGGAGAAATCTATTTAATCGTATCAGGTAAATTTTTTCCAAAGTTTTTAAAATACTTTCAACATACCTGTATTAAGAAGTTTGTTTCATTTTCTTTCAAGAAAAGTTCAATGTAAGACTTGATTTTACTTATCAAAAGACTGTAACTGAAGCTTTGCAGAAGAGGAACATATGGATCCTTGGTTTTAATTACGGTTGCCAGCTTCACCCTTAAAGGCTAAGAAAAGCACAGCTTTATACAACACAATCCTGCAGCAAACTTGGTATCTATGCTAAACAGGAAATACAGAAAGCTCAACATGATGATTATACAGTTTCCTGCATATCCCTATACAATTCATACTGCAGTTTGAAACAGTTCTAGAGTCAACTAGTCATAATGCCAGGTATGTACCTTATGTAAATGGTAAAGTGTAACTCACCAGAGATTTACATTTTCATTTCCATTATGAATAACACAGAAAGCAGGGGTGTCAATGGAGGAAAAACACCCCAAAAAAGCCACCCATTACTCGGTTTTCTCTTCTCATTTGCTGCCTCAAAAAGACTGCCATTGAAAGGGGTGTACAGTGTTCAGGAGAAGGATAACTTAGTACAGCACCATTAAGGATACATTAATACTGATAATTAGAAATTCTTATTTTGTCTACCAATACCTCTGAATTTTACAGAAGCCAATATAGGCAGAGAATTATCTTCTGTGTATATGTCATTTTTATATATGAATTTGAGTATATTACCACAATCTACACTTTCCAAACATCCAAATCCTCTGAATGGAAGTGTATAAGTTATACACAGGCTACTACTTACATAGAGCATGTGTCCTAATATACCAGTTGAAGATATAGGAAGCATTTTTAACTTCTTTTCACCTGCAGTTCTTCTGTTGCTCTTTTCTCCACTCCAGCAAACTCAAGTGTGTGCACTGTGATTTGAGTGAATATCTCTCTATTATATTAGAGAGATATTCACTCAAACTTGCAACTTTCTGAATGATGCAGTCAGCTTCAAACCAGGAGGTGGCCTAACATATATGTTGTCTTTTCCAGTCTGAGGCATAATAGCATCCAGTCTGAAGCTAATGAGTTTTCCTTCCCTGGGATGCTTTGGTACATAGAACACTAATCAAAGGTGACAAACAGAGTCAGTCCCCTACAACAGAAATCAGCAAATTGGCTGTTAGTAGTCAGCACTATCAAATTCCTAGAATTTGTAGTGCCATCTCACTCCTCATATGAAGTGGAAGAGGGGATGAAGGACAACTGCTGCTAAAAGCATTTTACTCCTACAAAAATCATCCAGTATGTCTATCAATCTCCTGGCCACAAATTTCCTTTTGTATTTTAAAGTGACATAGGTATGAAAGTGACTGCACGGACAATAATGAGATTGAAGTTATGCAGGTAGGATTTGCTAGCTTTGCAAACCAACTACCCTCTTTCTCCTCTGAAAGTCAAGAGCTTTTAATGCAATTTAAACAAGTTACTACCTTATCTGATTCAGAGTCTGTGAACAGCCTTTCAAGAACTTCAGCAGCTTCTTTGAAATATCTGTTTTCCATATGGACTGCTACAATCTACAAGAAATATAATTAAAAGATATGGCGAAATACTTTCCACCTGAGATTCAGAAAAAGCAAGAGAATTCACAATTCTACAGTTTTCTAAGACTCCAAAAATTCAGATGATTATATATTTAAGGGTTACTGACACATATCTACTTCTAACAGTTAACTCTGAAATGAGTTTTGAAATTTATTTCAATTGGTATCTTTTTCAGATTGGCAGCTTTTGAAACAAATTTTAACTGGTACAAACAGGACCCATATGAGATAGAAAAAGGTCCCCTGTACAGATCTATTTACTCTGTACTAAAACTAAAAATTCAGTTCAGTCTGCTAATAGCCCAAGATTTTTGTAAAAAGGGCTCTGTTTTAGTAAGATAGAATTTTTAAGGTTGGACAAGACCTTTAAGGTCATCAAGTCCAACCATCAACCTAGCACAAGACCACCATGTTCACCATTAAACCATATCCTCAAGTGCTATATCCACATGTCTTTTTCAAACACTTCCAAGGATAGCGTCTCCAGCACTTCCCTGGGCTGTCTGTTCCAATGTTGTGCAACTCTTTGTGTGAGAGTTTTTCCTTATACCCAATCTAAATCTCCCCTGGCACAACTTGAGGCCATTTCCCCTCATCCTGTCACTAGCCACCTGGGAGAAGAGACCAACTCCCATATGGCTCCAGTCTCCTTTCAGACAGTTATAGAGAGTGACAAGGTCGCCCCTGAGCCTCCTTTTCTCCAGGCTAAACACTCCCAGCTCCCTCAGCTGCTCCTAGTAACATTTGTGCTCCAGACCCTTCACCAGTTCCTTTGCCCTTCTCTGACCGCTCTCCAGCACCTCAAAGTCTTTCTTGTCCTGAGGGGCCCAGAGCTGAACACAGGATTCGAGGTGTGGCCTCACCAGCGCTGAGCACAGGGGACAATCACTGCCCTGGTCCTGCTGGCCACACTGTTCCTGATACAGGCCAGGTGCCATTGGCCTTCTTGGCCACCTGGACACATCCTGGCTCTGGTTTAGCTGCTGTTGACCAGCACCCCTGGGTCCTTTCCTGCCAGGCAGATTTCCAGCTACTCATTTCCAATGAGTAGGTAGCATCCTGAAGCATTATGAGTAAGTCACACAGACCTGAATTTGAATCAAGCGACGAATTTCTTCATGAAGCTTTTCCAGTTTAATTTCTTCCTTTTCAAGTAAAGTCCAGAAAGACAGAGCAGATTCCAAAGGTGAAATTCTTTGATCGTTTTCAAACTGTAATCCTTAGAGGGAAAAAAACCCAAAGTATTTATAAAAATTAAAGGATAAAGTGAAATAGATTACAGTATGCAGTAAAGTAATAGAATATAGTATGCAGTAAAGTAATATTGTATTATACAATTTCAATTCCTTTTTCCTCAAGTTTTAGGTGTTTAAGAAACCTGAAGCAACTGTCTTCTTTTCAGAGACTGGTTCTTCCTACCCTTGCTACTAACATTACTGCTGCATTTTCAGGGGCAGTTATGTCAGCTAATTATTGTTCACTTAAAATGCCACTTGCAATTAGGTATTTGGTCTGGCATTAATAATACATTAAACTTAGCATGAGATTTCACAACATTTGATATTGATACTATTAATTTTGTAATATAATCAGCATGCTAAGTAGTTTGTTTTTTTCTTCCTGTGTCTATCACTATTTCCATGTCTAACCTTCTGTTGTATTTGAAGTGCTTAAACCAAGAGGGAAACTCAAACAGGTCTACACAGGAGTGTCACTTAAAAAGCAGAAGCAACCCCCCATGCCAGTGTACTGCTGTGCCAACACCAAGGTTTGTGCAAACTCCCAGCAAAGGATCAGTGACCAGTTCTGGCAGAAATCTAGTCTAGCCAAATATTCATCCCCTTATCACTCTCAAGCAGTTTCCCAGTCTGGTCATTGCACACCTGCACAAGTGAGTGTGCCAAGGTAACAGATGCAGGAGGAGCTGGCAGGTGCACAAGTGCTTCTTCCCATGGCACTGCCAACTTCACCCAAGATGTTCACTGAACTACAGCCTCACCTATGCCTTCATTTTATGGCATCAGCAGAATCTGTCTTAATAACTTATTCCTTTCATTAAGTATTTTTCAGACAGAAGGTAAGCAATTTACGCAATACTGAAGAGAAAAATTATTTTATATCCACAATAAAATAATGTCAAACAGTGAAATTTCAAACAATATTATGTGCATATATACACATAACTAAAACAAAAACGTGTTTAGCTATTGTCTCAATCAAGTAACATGACACTTCATATTGTTTAATAGTGTAAAACAAAAGTGTTGAGCTCTTAGAGAGCTGAAACAGTCTTGTCTGTGTGATCATCACAGATCAAATATCTTAATAACTAGAAAAATAGGAAAGCTACCATATTTTAGCTTTCCATGTACATTGTGCAGCTACACCTGATGTAATACCTACTACACACATGCAATCTTCCTCACCACACAGATCATTCTCTACTGATAAGATAGGAACACACAATGAAGTAATATTCTCAAGTGTTATATACAGTAATATAATTTAGAGCATTAGGACAAAATTTTCATAATTTGTGTACTATTTTAAATAATTTGATGAACTATTTTATATATTAGAATTTGATTTCCAAGCTAAACTAAATCAGGATGCCATAAAACCTGATAAGAAACATAGGAAATTTAATTGTATAAAAACAAAACTTTTTGGCATTGCTAGGCTAGAATACACTTTTTTCTTCCATGCTCATGCTTTCAAGACTGCTTCTGAAGTCTTTAAATTCCAAAGAGTTTTATCAAACAGTGAAAAAAAAAGAAGTTAAGTCTTCCAGAAACTCAAACAAAATCATCTTGGCTAAACCAACAAGTTGCAAATGCAGCCAAACAGAAGATGTAGTGAGTAAGAGCCCCAAGGACTTGCTGCCAGCTGAGATCTTACAGTCTTCTGTAGGAAACATGGGCAGTCATCCTTTTCATCCATCTTCTCATTCCTGCTGCCTGTCCTACTTTAATCTCTAGAGTTAAATGTGCAGAAAAGAACACATATCCCGAGTTTTAAACTTGTAAGTATTGCTCACTAAGAGCTAGTCAGGTCTTTCCAGTATGTTTCTTTTGTTGATACTACTCTGACAAAAAAACCCTGGTAATTTAAGAAGTACATGGTCATTCAAACTCCATGTAGCTAAGTCAGTCAGCACAGAGTGACACCAGTGCTGCAGACAGCTCAGTCACACGTGTAACAAACATAGTCCAAAAAGTAAATAAATTGAATATATTTATTCAATTTATTTATATATAGCTATATCTATATTCAAAAAATATATATGTGCATAGTAAAGGCTATGTGAAAGCATGTCTAATATACCTGTGTAGAAGTTCATGCAACTATTTTTAAACACTTGAAAAAAAAGAACCTGAGTATTTACCAAGGCTTTTTCCTTGTGCAATTCTTATCAAAAGCTGGCAGAGATATACTGTTTTTTTCTGATGTTGAGGTATTTGGGAGAGGCCACTAATAAGAGCTGTAAAAGAAGAGAAAATTCAAGTCAGTTTTGCTCCACCACTGCCACAGTGTGGCTAGATATATACTAGACACTGTGTTATCAGATTTTACTAAATTTCTAATTCCTTAAGAAACCAATGAAGCCCACTTCATTAGTATTCTTCCTTGCTAAAACAACTGAAATAATATTTAAGAGCTTGACCAGAAGAATATATCCTTTTCTGAAGAAACAGCAGAATTAATCACAGGCTTCTATTCATCCAATTCAAAGACCATAGTATTAAATGTAGAGGTTTTTTTGGTAAGTAGGGCACTACAAAAGACAGCTGTCTGCTCCAAAGAACACTTCCAGGGAATGCCCACAAACCATGAGCCACAGACAGACTGGTATAGCATGTTGCTATAGCAACTTACAGAAATAAAGCAGTAAAAGCTACATGGAAAGCTTACTCAGAAATGTAAATTTACAAGGAAAATCCTCCTTGCAAGGGTGTAAGGTCACAAGGATTATTACATATTTTAAAATGGGAGCTATCATGAGCTTATTCCCATCATTCAGATTACTGTGAATTTCTTATGCTAATGTGCTGGATATAGTAATTCAACTTCACACCATAATACAAAACTATTCAAAATGAAAAATGAATCACAGAATAATTGGGGTTCAAAGGAGCTGCTGGGTATCATCTGGAACCACTGCCTTCCTACCTTTCTGCACTTGCTTCTGTTTTGAACATTGACTTTCTTGTTGACAGCCAATCATCATTTCTGTAGGGTCTCCTTTTGTCACATGCAAGAGTAACAGTTCTGTGTTTCTATGAAAAAACCACACCTACTTTTCTATTACAATCTTATGACTGTGCTTAGCTTTTCCCAAAGACTTTTACAATATTGACTTCATAATCTTTGAGTGCCAAACTCTTTCCTCTGTTGCTGAACAGTGTAGGAGCAAGTTCAAAATTTGCTATTACTTGTTATTTCCACATGACATTGAATTCTGTACAACTTAATTAATAGTTTCTACTAACACACTCAGTCTTCCCAGGAGATATTTTCACTCTGCTTTTGCATTGTATTGTCTCTGCTTCCCACCTGCACAAAACCTCAGTACAATTCTCCTGCTGAGCTGCAGTCCAAAGGCCACACATCGAGAAGCAACATAAATAATTTAATCTAGCAGCCCCCCATTCAAAGTACTTTAGTAAATTATCATTAGGTTTCTTACCATATCCCATATCAACCTACTTAGTAATCATTCTGCATGCCATTGTATTCCATTCTTTGCACAAGTTTAAACAAGTCATACTCCTACGTTCACCTGAGTCAAGAACATCTACACAGACAAAATATCCCCCAAAGCTCTAACCTGGTATCCGCAGGAAAACTGCTTCTTACAGAAGAAAACATCATAAATCCATCAAATTTATCTGAGACTTAGACATTTACTTCTAATTGTCAACCATTCTCACGCTAAAGTTTATTCCGATTTTAAATAAATGTTTTTCCATTCAAAACCCAGTCACCACACTTCATCTCATCTCATCTCATCTCCGTAGTTCTCTGAAATACTTCTAGCACTGCTATATTGCTGCCGTGTGCGAGTGCTGCCGATACCACCCCAGCTCTCCACAGCCCGGGGATCTCCTGAGGTCCCCGAAAGAGCTGAGCATCACCCCCAGCGCTGTTGACCACGGTGGTCGATGGACAGTGAGTGTTTTAGCGCCCCGGCGTGCAGGAGGGCGCTGCCCCTGCGGCCCCTCAGGACTCGCTGTCCCGGGAGCGGCTGTGGAGAGCCCGAACCGCCGCTGCCCCTCACCCTGCGCAACGTCCCTCCACCGCCAGAACTCCGCCCCGCTCTGCTCCGCGAAGTGCCGGCACAGGCAGGAGCAGACAAACTCCAGCATCCACTCCGCGGCCACGGCCTCCAGGGCCTCCGGCGGGGCCAAACTGACGGAGCTGCTCACGGAGCTGCTGCCGCCGCCGTCCGCCGCTCCCGGCGCGTCCTGGGCCGCCGTCGCCATCTTCAAACTGCGCGCCAACGGCTGCCAACCCCGAGCTTCGCCGCGTCACAGCCAATCAGAGCGATCGTACCGCCCCGCTCTGCATCCAATCAGAATAGCCTTTCGGCCCGGCCCCGCCCTGTTCGCCGAGCCACAACCAATCAGCGTGGCCGCCCCTCACGGCCTGGGCCGTCGTCGCAGCGCGCTTGTTTTGATTTACAAGTGCCCTTTGGTGGTGGAGTGGGGGAGCTGAAGGAGCGCTGTCCCGTGCGGAGCTGGGCTCTGAGAGCTGCCGTGTCCCATGTGGAGCGGAGGCTCTGAGAGCTGCCGTGTCCCGCGCTTCCTGGGAGAGCCAAAGGCGAAACGTGGGTAATTTCTTGCATGTGTGATCCGAAGGGCTTCGCTAAGTGCGTCTTCGTGTGGGTTCTGGAGAGAGGAGGCTGTGGAAGGGAGGGAGGGAGGGAGGGAGGAAGGGGGGACATATCAGAGCCTGGAAAAACTGAAAAGTGGGAGCTTCGACTTGGCAACGAAGCCCTGGATGGTATGTGGAGAGCGACGGTATTAGTTGGAGGGTGTTTATCTGAGAAGGCAACTGTTTGTACGTGTTAAAATGTAAAACCCAGGGAGGAAGAAGGTAGTCTGCAAAGGGCTGAATTCAGGGCAAGTGCTGAAGGGCAGAACAGTTTTCCTCTCAGATGTGGTGGAAGGTAAAGTGATGTTCTGGTAGGTCTGGTGAAAGGCTTTAATTTGAGCTTTATTTCAGTCCGGAGAGGAGCAGGGCGGTATCAGAGAGCAGGAGATATCAGCTGATGGGCCTTTAACTCCTTTGACTCCTGTGCTCACACTAAATTGCACCCACAGCAATCTTGCTATGTGGAGATACGTTGAGGTCAAAGAGACAAGAAGACACATAATTTAACTTAAAAGAATCTTCTATTTGGACAGCTGTATTAATAGACTGCAAGACTTAGGTTTGCACTTTGGAAGAGATTGTGACAACTTCTTAATGCTGATAATGCCAGGAATGAAAATTCTTAGTGTTTGTCACAAACCAGGTGGACATAAAAAATGAGATTATTATGCATTAAAGTTTAATTAAGTAGACGTTTTATAAGTTTTGTAGTAAAAACTGACAGGAAGGTGGATCAAATTACCTGATAAACAACAGCAGGACCAGTTTGCTGGGTGTAAGCTCTGCTCAGTACTAGCAAAATCATCTTTGTTATCATCTCTGTGTTCAACACAAATCCAAAACACAGCTCTTCACCAAGCAACTGTGAAGAAAATTAACTCTGGCCCAGCCAAAACCAGCACAACACCCAGCCCTGAGTGTCCTTGAGGAGTCCCTAATATGTGGACAAATGGATTTCAGGTACTATTCCAGGCCGATTTCTTCCCCTTGACAGTAGAGGGAGCCTGAAGTACTTTAGAAAATATACCTATCTTGTAGGTATTTTGAGGTCAGATGACTCTTGTGCTGGGTGAGCTTGCAGCAGCATGAGAAAAGATACTCTAGTGTGGCAGAAAACATGTTTTTATTCTTATGAATGAGGTGGAAAACCACAGTTGTTCAGTTTAATTCCTAAACCAGTTTTTTCTTTCTCTTGCAGGTGTTTCTACCAGTTCTGTCTGTGATGGTGGCAATGTTTTTCTTCCCAGATTTAGCTCCTGTAGTCTCATCTCCAAACCTGCAACATGTTTACACTTTCCTCTTTATGCTGGGAAGTCTTACTGTTTATCTGCCTTTTATACATATGAAATTGCACTTTGCATTTCTTGATAAAATTACAAGGTGCTTAGAGCCCCTGTTAGAAATCTCTCCTGCTGATGGATCTGCTTAGGGCAGATGTGAATAGTGTTTAATCCCAGTATAACTAAGAGCCAACAGAGGATTTTGTTTAACTGAGAGTATAAAAGGCACAAGTTACATGTGATATACAGGTGTGCATGCATGTGTGCATATGTATATATAGATATAAATGAATGTACATGTATTGCATACCTATATACATGTATAAATATATATTTATAAAAGTATAGGCATTAGCATAGGGAGTTAATATGTATATATTTTTGTCTCTGTGGATACATTAATGTATATGCATAGCAATTTAATAAGTGCAAGGAGTCTCACCTAAACTTGCACAATCTGTAAAATGCTCTCTCTTGCTCCTGAAGACAGTTAAAATAAGAAATAAGACTAAATTACAACACAAATAACTACCACTATTATCATGTAATAAATGAGTAAATACATACTTAACAGCATAATTATGTAAATATAGTTTGGTCTCCAGACTCAATCAATCTTGATTATTCTTGGTTTGTAGTTGCTCATTTATTAGAACTTCCAGTTTAAAAGGCTTTGGTCTTCTCTTAATTTGCTAATTTTTTTTCTTTGAATTTATTTTTAATAAGAATCTTTAAGGTACATCATAAAATTGACAGATCTATTTTAATCCCCAAATAACTGTACATTTTAGCATGTTAGCTATTTTAGAACAACACATACAAATTCATGATGAAATCTTACACTTTATTCTTCAATTTCTTTTTGGTTACCTTATTCTTTATTTTGTTTTAGGTGTTATTGGGAAGTAGGAGGCCCCTTTCCCCCCATTTTTATTTTGTTTATGAAAGCCAAATAAATGATTTTTTCTTTTGATAAATGGTCCATGTTAACTCCATACAGTATTTAATCTTAAAAGCAAAGAACCATTGCACAAGAAACATCACATACTTGGGTGATTAATATATTAATATATGCTGTTATTTTTATAACTGCAATAGAATTACATGTGTAAAGTAGTTTTTCAAATTTGTCAACAAAAGCTCAACAATTCAACCAGTAGATGGCCCCAGCCTAACATCTCCTTTGCATAGTGGTGCTCTGGTTTGCTGGATGGGTGGGAAAAGTTCTTGCTAGAATACTCAATGCACCGATGTATGTAAAAATAGGGATCAGAATGATGGATAAAGACTTTATTCATAGCTGCCCAAATGATAGGTACCCTTCTATAAGCTGGGAACCAACTGAATGTTAAACTGAACATTTAAGGAGATTTGACTTAACACAAATGAAAAGAAGTGCATGAAGAAAGTGCCTTTTCTCACAGGTGGTAATGCACACAGAATGAAAATTTGAATTAAAATTTAGAACATTTAGAATGCTATAGGGAGTAAAGTCTGTGCAAGTGAGATGCTGAGCTGGAGATTGGATCCTGCTGAAAGCAAGACAAGAATCAATCTCTAATTTCGTTCAATATTGCTATTGGAAAAAAATTTCTCTTGCTATTTAAATTAAAAAAATCACAGTGAAGTTTTCCAGCAGTAATATTTTAAGAATTGAATTCTATTGAGTAATAAAAGGAAGGAAGGATTTTACTGTGACCAAAGCACCAACCAGGGATTTATAAATGCAGGTAGTGCCTGGAATACCACAGATTTTCAACTAATATTTATAAAATAATTTATTTAAACCCATATTTTAATATAGAAATAAAAGTGAAATTTATAGGGAACAAAAAGTGTATGTGGCAAAAATATTGTGTAGACCAGATGGTTAGAAAAAGCAAGTATCAGGGGAAGTTGCTCAATTGGATGTGTAATTTCTTATATCTTGTTTATACACTAATTCCACGAACTTTTGAATATCTAGTGGATACATTTGTCAGGGTATGTTTGGGTAATTGGAACATGTATCTATCTGGTAAAGATACAAACTTTGAATTTAGAGATTTAGCAGTTTCAACATATGAGGGCACGAGAAAGTCCCAATAAAATGTAATATGAAATAAAGTGCATTCGTGTATCCATTCATGCCATGTTTTAGATGGAAACAAAGGAAGTATAGCCAGAATTATTCACTGACTTTGGATGCCTTGGACCTGGTATTTCATAGAAATTCATAACTATAGACTGCCTATAGTCCTCTAGAATCAAGTTCCAAGAATACTAAAAGGAAAGAAGGATGAGTTCTCTCAGTCAGTTTGGTTTAGATGAAGAGCAGGTATCCTAAAGCTTTACTTCTGACTGTGGATAGCTGCAATTCCTCTATGATCTGAAGTCTATGAAATGTTAACAACATTTGAGATCTTAAGATTCCACAACCCAAGCTGGGAGGATTTAAAATAGAGTATAGAAAATGAGGAAAACAGAATTAATGACAATTTTTTAAACTTATGATTTAAATTATTCCAGTATGGTCTTGGATTTTATAGAGAGAGAGAAGTTTGAATGTCTCTGGGCAGTACTCAAACTCCTTAATCTGACAACTCTTCCGCAAGTGTTACCTTATTCACTATATCAAATTACTCTTCTACAGCAAATGAGGCATTGGCTACCTCACATTTAGCATCTTCTTCAACACAAAATGTTCACTTATTGCCAGATCTAAGTGATATGAGGATCTTCTGAAAAAATCCCTCTCATTAGATGACCTGAAAATGTATTCATACAGCTGAGATGAATTAACATTATAAAAGCAATCTCAGATGTTTCTGATCTCCTGAATGAGTCACTGATGTTCTCTCAATGTGACCTTTCTTTTGCATGAGTTTTTTTTGAATGTGAAATCACAAAGAAGCAAATACAGAATTAAATTTATAATGATTTTTTATTGTTGCTGGATCATTCCAGATTTTCAAACACTAATTGTGAAGAACAGAATTCAATATTTTAACTAATATTAATGACTGTAGGCTAGGGCAATTCAATATTTTAATATTGCAGCTTGTTTCAGTGGCACTGGTGGGTCTCAGCTGCTTTCCTACTTGAACATGCCTCAGAAAATACTATATAGAAATGTGACTGTTCTAGTTCTAGCATACATCAGACATTAATTTAAATTTTTAATTCATTTTTTACCTGTGACTTAGTAATTATTTTAATTCATACTTGCATATTTTATAAATTCAACCACACAACAAATAAAGATAAAATGTGGATTTTTTTTCAATATTGTACTGTCCCAGTTTGACATGTAACCTCCCTAACTTTGTTTTTTTTTGTTTCCTATCACAATATTTGTGTGTATGTCTGCATTACCTTTCTTTTTTCCTTTATCTCCTTAAAGCCACAGCTTAAATAAAGAAATTATCATCAGTCCTATTTTTAAAAATCACTTGTAGTTATCCATCATGCTAACTCCATGTGTGTTGACTGCTTTACCAAACAAAAATCACAGAACAGAAGAAAAAAATCCTTTGAAAAATAATGGAACATTTAATATGAAACTAATCAATAAATAATTAAAAGTGACTAGCAGAATTAATGCAAATTCATTTGTGTTTATGGAAAGTAATCTGTATTGGGTCTGGCTGAGATAGAGTTCATTTTCCCAGAGCAGCCCTCGCAGTGCTGTGCTCTGTGTTGGTAGCTGGAAAGTACTGATAACACACCTGTGCTTTGGCTACTGCTGAGCTGCACAAACTTCAGCTTTTCTTTCTTTGCTTTGGTAAATGGCCTTATCTCAAGCTACTAGTTGTTCCCCATCTTATTTTCTCTGTCCTGTCACCCAAGGCTTGGTGGCTTGGTGGGCAACCTGGCTTCAACCCAAGGTCAATTCTATTATATATAGAATATAATTCTATCAAACCATCTTTACATTATATTTTCTGTAATACTGGGTGCTTAAAGGATGAAAAAAATTGGGATTAGAGGATTTAGAGGTCCGTTGAATCTGTAGACTTTGACAACGTTTCACACCACTATAAATCAGTTTCTTTTGTTTTGCAATCCTAGAATGAAGTAAGCTGGGTTTTTTCATCATGCAGAGCTACTAAAATGAGCCTTACTAGCAAGCCTTTGTGCTGTGCATACTATTGGCTAGGGACTTTCTTTTGATGGCAGAAGAAGATGTTTTTATTCCTGGCAGCAAGTGGTAAATGCATGCATCAGTTGGGCTGAGACCTCCCCACGTGCCACTATGTATATGGTAAATCTTTATTGTGAGGGTGGCAAGGTTGTCCAGAGAACCTGTGTGGAAGTGTTAAGGCCAGGCTGAATGGGGCTGGGAGCAACCTGGCCTAGTGGGAGGTGTCCCTGTCCTTGGCAGGGGTGTTGAACTAGATGGTCACTAGAGGTCCCTTCTTACCCAGGCCCTTCTATGATTCTGTGATTGCCAAGTGTTGGGCATCAGGTGCCAGCCACAGTAAAATCCCACCAGGGACTTGGGGGTTGGGCATGATCAAGCTTGGAAGCTTGGAACTTTGGGGGGGCACTGCCAAGCAACCTGACAAACATTCCATAAACGTTCCACTGCACTTGGTCAGGTAGTGTCTCCTGCTTTTGGCTTCTCTTAAGGTTTACTATTCACAGACTGTGCACACACAGGAGGATGTATTTGTCAGGTGCTTTATGTGTAAAGATTTTGGACGCAGTCAGTGGTTAAATTGGCCACCAGTGCCTTCTTTTTGGGATTGCCAGTATTATAGAGATCTTCGCACCAGAGCATCTTTTATATGTGGGCTGGTTTCTTGTGAACTGAAATGACCACCTCATGCCTAGACTTTCAGCAGATGTTACCTTGCCCTCTAAATTTAATCTTCTTGGCACCAGAATTGGCTTCATGTTTAATTAACTTTTCTTTCATGCTTGCAAATAGTGTCTTGTTAAGAAATAGCAGAAAGTTGGATACAGGCAAAGTGAAGCAGTCCTACATTTCTGCTTGTGTGTCTGTGACTTAATTTTCTTTGCCCAAATTGAAGCCCAAATTGACATTGTTTTCTGAAAGGTTTTCAAAGTATATCAGCAGGGACATATTATTTTTTCTAGTGTGTATATTCATGGAAAATCAGCATGAGACCTTAATTCCAGTGAAAGAAGACTAAGCAACCTGTTGTCTGAGGATGGCTGTGAACTAAAATTCACTTAATGCTATCATGCTGAGCAACTTAAGTGCTGTGAAAAACTGCCATAATTTCTTTTTGTTATCTTCGTATGATCTTCAGAATTCTTTTTTTCCTACTAAATTATATTCTTTTTGTACTGTGTTCAGCAAGAGGGGAAAATTAACTGAAAACAATTTATGTTTGCAAATGCTCTCTATAAAAAACTGAACATTTTACCTACTTTTTAAGTAGTGTTGACAAACTTGGTGAAGTGTTGATGACTCTTGCTTTGTGCACACTATATTAAAATATCGTGCTAACTACTTGTGTTGTTTTCAGTGGAGTTTTTTTTTGTGCTCACCTGTCTTTGCTCTTACATGTCAACTCTGTATCTTAGTACTGCAGAGGCAATCTTGCAAAAAAAAGGGGTGATGTGGAAAAGACACCTAGACAGCAAAGAAAGGGAGACTGTGGGTGTTCCACTACACAAAAGCAGATACCAAAATAGTTTACTATTTTTCTATATGAATGGCATTTCATGTAAAGGAATTGCTCACTTTAATTTTAATTTAGCCAAAAACTTTTTCCAATGCTTAGTGTAATCAAAACTAATATTTTATTTATCTTCTCTAATTATAATTTAACATCTTACTATTATAGTCATGCCACAGCTATGTTCTAAGGTGGAGGAAATACGTTTTTCAGAAGACAAGAAAGAGTAGTGATATGCTGAAACATATAATATACTATGCTTGCTGAATTGCCTTATAATTTTGAATGGATAAATAAAACCCCCAGCTTTTTACAAATAGCTGTCTCAGGGCTTGGGGTTTCATTCAAATCTTACTAAAAAGTGAATTTCCTGGTACCTGCTTTATCTGTATTTGTTCTTGTGCCAGTTTGTTCTTGCCTGCAAGCTGAAGTCGTCCCCTGTCCCAAGCAGAACTCATGTTAAAATTATAGACACTGATCAATATTATTTCCTTGTCTTGGTTTTGCTCTGTAAAATCAAAGTAGTCCACTGTCTGCTTGAATGCCAGGAACTTTGTTTTGTAAATATATCCACAGCCTGATTTCATAGTTAGTTTTGGTCAGATATGAATTCCTTTGCAGTTTGTTTCAACCAGAGTTTACCATAGTACTTTCTAAATCATCTCTCAAATGACAGTATATATTTTTTTTCTGCTAAGAATTGCTTTGTCCTGAGTTTTACCACACTCTTGGATAATTAACCTGTGACTTATTGATACAGCCAATTTTGTGTCTGGCCAAGTGTTTAAGTTTCACATCTACTAAACCCTATTTTAGAGTAGAAATCCTTGTTATTAATCCTGGGTTCCTGAGTGATGTTCCTATTCCCTCTTGCTGTGTGTTAATTTAATCTTTTGCACGTATGGAGTGCCTTGAAATTGATACTATAAAGGCATCAGATATGCTCACAGGTTTTCTGCATGTTTGTGTAATTTTTCCTGTTTCTTTTAATTAGGAAAGTCTACATATGGAAACAACTGGTAAAGAAACAACTGACAATCCAGGTAGCATTGTAAGCTACTTCTATTCTAAATTTCCTTGACTATACCCTAGCCAAAAGCTTTTTCTTAAGCAATTGAGAGGGGCTGAATTACTGACATTTTTTCATCTATTAAAAAATCTGTGTTGCTCTTGACATTACAAGCCATAGCCACAGATTCTAGGGCTGTACTGGTAAAGAGCTCATAGGTATTCAGACAAAAAAAGTCTCAGTGTTTTTCCAAAACAAGTGCATAAAAGGCTGTGGACAGGAGGGAGTACCTGTAGTGTAGGGCATTTTGAATATATCATTATTTGCAACAGTACTTAAAGAGTTTAATGTTGTGTGCAGTAATTTCATCATAAGGAAGTGAAGCAAGAAGAAAAAAGCTTTGTTTTGTTGAGTGCTATCAAGATACATTGGAAAGTAGGTTTTAGGCACAGTTTTTCTGAAGAGCTAATTTCTTGCATGGAAGCAAGATTTTTTAAATGGAAATACATGCACACACTCAACTTTAAATTTCTTACCTTCATTCTGCCAATACCTTTTCTAAAATGTCTGTATCCTGTGTACATGCTATTCATTTTTACTTTTTGGGATCTTTATTGTTTTCCAGTAAAAAAGATGACCTATCTAGCCTTGAAAGAATAGTAATTAAAGAGACTTTATATTCTTACTCAAGTTCTCATTAAAAATCAGGTGTGTGTTTTTTCACTTCTATTGTGCATTGATTAACCCCTGCCTGCCTTGAAACTTCCCCTGAACTTAGAGATGGGTGATACACATCCTGTTTTCTGCCTCTTTGACTATCCTGCTTTATCTTAAACTTGATTGTGACATTATTCTAAATTCTTTGCTTTCAACAGCACCTAGAAAATGTGACACAGATTCTTCAGTCCAATCTTCATCTGTTTCAGAGAGAGATTCATGCAAAGGGAACAAAAGGTGATAGTTTTTCTGTCTCAATAGTGCTGTCACGTGACTCAATAATGCTTTCAAGGGGTTTTGGACTGGTGGCAAATAAGATAATTATTATTACTGTGGTAGTCTAACAGCATAAAGAAAGCAAACACTGACAGTGGCAGTAAAAAGATCTGATGTCTTTTTACTAGACATCAGATCTTATTTGAAAATGCAGTATTTATGGTCATTGATAAGGTGATGATGAGGGTTGTGGCTGAGATTGTGTATTTGAAATTTGTTGTGTAAATGAAGCAGAATCTCCCTCTGAAAACCTTAGACTATTTAATCTTGAGAGATGAAAGTTATTTTCTTAAAACCAAAGACAATTTAGTTAGAGGGAGAGCCTGCATGGAAGTTTTAATGGATTATTTTTAAATCAGTCAAACACTGATTCTGATGTCTCTTTGGAATCAGTTCATGTTTCTGTATGAAACTATCCTTAAACCAGAAAAATATTAAACGAAAATCCAATTATGAATTGCAGTAGTAATGACAAAGGGGTGTCAGATCATTCAAACAGAGCACAGAGAGTGCCTTCCCTTTGGAACACTTTGTTTAGTATCATTGAAAGCCGACAATTATGGAAGGAAGGGGTTTTGAAGTCAAGTTTTTAAATAAGTTTAAAATGTTGATGTTTCACAGAGTGACTACATAATGCTAAGTGAAACTCTATTTGTGTGTCTGAGATAAAAGGAGTAACTTGATTAAAAATTTCTTTGCACACTAGTGATACATTTTACCTTCCTAAGAAAAATCAAATATTGCTGTCACAAGGAAAATGGCATAATGTACTTGAAATCAGATAAAATTTCCAATGATCTGAAAAATTTGTCTATTTCAAAGTAAACTCTGAGATATTATTCACTTAAATTTTGGTATTACTTTGAGTGCATTTTAATATTTTACTTGTTTGAATGTTTGCAGACAGAGATATGGAGTCCTCAGCAGTGATTCCTTTTCCTCTTCTGATGATGATGAGGATTTTGAAATACAGAAGAAGAAGAGAAATTTAAGGAGGTTAATGAAGTTAGCGAATAGGGGAGGGAGGATTGCACCTGGGGGGACTTTGCATATGCCTAACTATGAAGTGTTGCCATCTTCCTCTTGTACCTTTTCAAAATTGTCATACCTGTTGGTATTGACAACTGTAATTGGAGTCTCTTAAACTGGATTTTTAGGATTGACTTTTAATAAGAAATTTGATTTCCAGGTGGGAATGGGAGGAAATGTAGAGATAAACACTTTGATGTATTTTCTTGATATGAAACTTCATTGCTGCTGTGTTTTGCTGTTGTTTTTTCAAAGCAAAAACCACTATAAGAGAAAATAGGGGAAATAGATTTTGTTACTTAACAAATATTCTAGGAATATTAATTTAATAACAGTCTAACAGATGAGTTTTCAGCCTGACATCTTTCAGATGTGTATCTTCTGGCACACACATTCCAAAGTCCTCAGGAAAGCCCAGGAGTTGTGGGCAGCCTTTATAATGTTAACACCCACTGCAATAAGTGTTCTCCTGGGCTGTAACTTTTTGAAGGTAAAAGTTAAAACTATTTGAAAGATGTCAGTGTGTTTGGAAAGGGGAGGAATTCTTCCATCATAATAATCGAGGTCAGTCCATGGTCTCCACATATGGAATAATTGTTCTAAGCTTGAATTCCTATATGTGCTGTGTTAACTGGCTTGGATATTCATAAGTGGTACTGTTAAAATAATTACCTCAGTTTAATGTCCGGAGTGACCATTTTCCTTTATCTACTCATAGCCATTAAATGCAAAACACTGGAATGAGTATTTACCTATTTAGGAAGTTCATGCTGATTTATAAGGCCTTCTGCATTCACTTGCTGTCATTAGAAAATAAAAAAATATTCTATCTGCATTGTAAGTTAGAAAGCACCTTTTTTTCCTCAATTCAAATCAGATCTCTTCTGGTCAGCTTTCAGAAGTGTGCCTCAAGTGGAGTTGACAAGGATACCATGAAAACTGGAGGAAGTCTGGCTGACATGGAGCAAATGCAAATAGATGGTTCAGTAAGTATTTTTGATTCATTGAGGCAGTGAGACATTTGCAGTATTTATGAAAGCTTCCAGTAATGGGCCGTCTATAACTCCCTTGAGTTTTCTCTCAAGCAATCCAGCTTCTCATGGAACCTTATCAAGGCTGCAGCTTTCTTTATCATATAAAATGTGTTCTGTTGACTTCATCTTCAGGTGCAGTTTGATGGCGTGGGTGGTCTTTCTGACCACATTTCATCTTTAAAAGAGATGGTCATTTTTCCGTTGCTTTATCCTGAAATCTTTGAGAGATTGAAAATTGAACCTCCAAGGTAACAGACACTGTTTAAAACTCTCAAGTTCTAATTTACCTATTTTCAGGAGAATTCAACTGGGGCATCAATTCGTTTCATGCTTCTAAATTCTCAGCAGTTGATTTTTTTTCAACAGTAGTAAAACGTAATTAAAAAAAAATTGGTAGAATCCAATATATATGTTGGCCCAAAGATTTACTGCATGGTGATTCCATCCTTTCAAAGTGTCTTGCCTTTCAAAGGCAGAATTGGGGATTTTTTCTTTATAGCTCTAAATGGAAGTAGACTTCATTTGTTTGTAAGCAGGAAGTACTTTCTACTCTAAGTCAAAGGTTTGTTTAGTGAAAGTCCACTTGTCTCTGCCACCAACTCTTTTTTTTTCAAGTTCTCAAGTGTCACTTTTGCAACTGACTGGATATGCAACTAGAAACTTGTAGTGTTTGTTGTACTTGAGCTAAAATAAGAATCTGTCCTCTTTTTACGGAGCTAAGTGGCTTCTGTGTTACAAAAAAAGACCAGTGTTTGAATTGTTAGCTTTATATATTCTTGGTCAACAAAACTCAGTCACGGCATATTGAACTAGGACCTAAAATTTTTTGCCTTCAGTAACTTTAAAAGTATTTCAAAATAGAAAGAAAAATATTTTTGTGCTTTGCTTCTTCATTAATTGAAATTCTTTTTTGAAGCAGCAGTGCTTTTCTAGTTGATGTAAATGCAGAAATGCAGAATATCCTTCCAGCTTTAAACTTTTTCCTTTATCACCAGCAAAGGGAAGCCAATTCCAGTAACTCAAAGCTTTTTAAGGGGAATCAAATGTTTTACTGTAAAGCCTTGACTTATTTGAAAAAAAAATGGAGTGCATCATTGAAAAATGAACTGATGATTCCTAAGTTAGCCTAGTCTCAGATTCTGCATTGGAAGTTTGGTCTTGTTTGGTTCCAGCCACCCCTGCTGGATTGCCAAGTTTTGGGGCAAGAAGTTTTGAGAGTACCCTTTTAGGATGCTGCAAGCTTTTATCAAAGTTTTGTATTTCCTCATTATCCTCTTTACTGATTTTTTTGCTGCCTTGGAGAATTGCGCAGGAACAATTTTGACTTTTTTTATATTTCAGCTATTACTGCTATCTTCTCCATGAGGTGTTTTGTTTAGGAGAGCAGAGTTGTGTGTTTTAAGGATGGGGTTTGTAATAGGTCCTTTTCCATGATGTTTTTTTCTTATGTGACTTTTTAAAAATTTTTTTTTAAATTGCAGAGGCTGTCTATTCTATGGTCCACCAGGGACAGGAAAGACACTGCTTGCTCGTGCACTTGCTAATGAATGCAGTCAAGGTGACATGAGAGTGACTTTTTTTATGAGAAAAGGTGCTGAGTGCCTGAGTAAATGGATAGGAGAATCTGAACGACAGCTTCGTACATTATTTGAGGAGGTAAGGTTGAAATTTGGCATGTGTTCTGTCTGAGGTGGAAATAAATTTCTATGGTCTACATGTTTTGTCAGCTCCTTTCACTGAAAGGGGATTGCGACTGTTTCCTTTTTCAGTGACGTTTTAGGGGTTGAAATCTTCAGATGTATTGGGAAAGGTTAGTAAAGGAAATATGAAAATCCTGCAAAGCATCACCACTACCATCCCCCTCTTCCCCAAAACAACTAATGCAACAACCTCCCAAAAAGTCACAAAAATGTTTCAAGAAGTAAGATGTGGTGGCTTAAGATCAGAGGGAAAGAGATGCAGGCTGAAAGCAGGGTCATTTAAACTGATTACAGAGGGTGCTTCCAGAGCCTGTAACTTAACTAAGTCCTGTCTCTGTTCTTGTGGTTGCCAAGTAGATGTAAAAACTACTGGTGTGGTTTGTTTCTTGTCACCCAGTCTCCTTGAGTTGATATAGTCTGCTGTCTTCTGTTACTCATGCCACTTTACTCTGTTAGCTCAGTTAACAGAGTCTGAATAATTTAGTTGCCTTTCCAACCATGATATTTTTCATGCATTTGCTCTTTCAAATAGGGCTGTTTTCCTGATCTCAATATTCCTGTGTTTTCATTGTAGGCCTACCAGATGCGACCTTCAATTATTTTCTTTGACGAGATTGATGCTCTGGCTCCTGTACGGTCCAATAAACAAGACCAAATTCATAGGTAGGATATGTTTTGTATCTACATAGAAGCTGCTTGATCTTTGTGGAAAAAAGATGGCAGCTTATTTAACTTCAAGTGACACATTCATTTTTCCTGAAAATTAGTAATTCCATGCAAATGAATCTCAGAGATTTTTAAACAGTAATTGAAAACAGTTTGCTGAGCTTGATATCAGCAAAAGGTCTGTGTTACCTTCCCTGTATTTTACTATGACTTAAAATGAGTCTTTTGCTAAACAGCATCTCATCAGTAAAAACTTGTCCTTTTTGAGTGATCATTGACAAGGTTATGTGTAACTGAAGAAAATTCACTAAGCTGGTGAATGAAAACCATATTTTTCTGTTAGCTCTATTGTGGGGACACTTCTGGCACTTATGGATGGCTTAGCCAGCAGAGGAGAGATTGTGGTGATAGGAGCCACCAACAGACTGGATTCTATAGATCCTGCTTTGCGAAGACCAGGGCGCTTTGAACGAGAATTCCGCTTCAGTTTGCCAAACAAAGAGGTCAGAACTTCAAATCAACCTTGTGCTTCTGTGGCAAAGTCCATCTTCATAACAAATCCCTGTAATAAGGCAGCATTGTGCAGCAGTGCAAGTCTCCATCTGCAGTGTACAGTTTGAACAAAGCTATAGGAGACAAAAAGGGATATTGGAGAAATTGCATTGTAGTGTACAGGGCAGACCTGGCGCTGAATATATATGATTAGGGTGATTTCAACAAGTAGTTGATTCTCTACTTAGTTTTGGTTTCTCTGTGACTGGTGAAGAAAATGGGATGCTGATAGTAACTGAAATGTTTAAGAAAGAATGGGTATATTAATTAGTTTTAAACTACCCCTCTAGCATCTCAAAATTAAAAGAAAGGGTGAGAGAATGCCTCCTTGGTAGCAAAAACTTTGATCAAGGCTGATGCTAAAGCAAATTAAATATGTTGTGATCTTACTGGAAGTTATTGACAGAGACTTGGACAAAGATGTGAAGGATACTGCACAGGTGCAGGGCTTGGGAAGCTTCTAGTTCAATGGCAATAGTTAAGCAATATAAAAATGGGTAAAATAAAAATATTGAAAGATGGGAAATAGCATGCAAAACTGGAGACCTCTTTTTGTATTTTCTCACTGGCTATCTCTGATATTTCTTATCACTTCTTGGAAAAAGGACAAATAGGCTTATTGGATTGAAAGCTAGTGAAATGCACAAATATTTTTCTCCAGTTTTCATCTGCTCTCAGGAAGAGGAGATGAAGTGCCATTAAAAAGATCTAATACATGATTCTCTACTGTGATAGAGTTCTAAAAAACTGCCATAATTAATCTGTGTGCTAAAAGTTTCATGAAATTTTACTTAATTTGAGAGAATTTTCTTTGATGAAAATACCTCTGTTTGCAGATAAGGATTTTACAATGATTTTTTCTTCAGAATCGTTAGGTCTCACACTTGGGAAAACTCACTTTTATGGTACATGTAAATGCCTTTTACTTTACTGCAGCCCCAGCAAGAGTTTAATGTAACAAGTTCGGAATTATTAAATTTCCTGCTTGAAGAAGCAGACAGTGTATTAATAATTGACCTTTAAAATACTAAAAGGTTTAGCAGATAAGAAAAGCATTTGTATTGGTATAAGGGATTTTGTGGGTTTGTGCTGTCATTGCTCTTTTAGAGGAAAACTTAGGGCAAACTGAAATGCACCTGTTTCCAGGCAAGAAAAGAAATTTTCAAAATTCACACACGAGACTGGAAGCCGAAGCCATCGGACCACTTACTTGAAGAGCTGGCTGAAGAATGTGTTGGTGAGCTTGAAAACTGTGGGTTGCCACATGTGACCTGAGTCCTAGGGAACCTGAGCTTGTAGCAGGCAGCTCTTGTACCGAGAGCCCTTGTACCTTGTGGCAGAGAGAGGCAGCAAGGAGGCACTTGGCATGGGAACAAATTTAGACACTCCTTTCAATTTTCTTTTTGTCTCTCAGAACATTGAATGGGTTTGTGACATCTTTCCCAGGAACAAAGTTTTGAGGAGCAGGCTTCTGCCTAAGTGCAGGATATTAGGCTGTGAGGCATGTAACAGAACTTTTCTGCGGTGCAGTAACTCTTTAAATTGTCTCTTAGCCTGGTAATTTTTGGCTGCATACAAAGTCTTTCAGTGTTGCCCTTTAGAAGTACTGGCCTTGAATTCTGTTTTGTTTGAGATTGACATAACATTTGATTCCTGTTTTGTTTATTAGGATACTGTGGTGCTGATATTAAAGCCTTATGTGCTGAAACTGGTCTCTGTGCTTTGCGGCATCGCTATCCTCAGCTATACGAAAGCAGACAGAGACTGCAGATAAACATGGATTCAATTAAAATAAAAGCAAATGATTTTTCCATGGCCATGCAGAAGACTGTTCCAGCTTCACGGAGGGCTGTGCCTTCCCCTGGGCAAGCACTATCAGCTATTTCAAAGCCACTGTTAGAAGACACACTGGAAAGGATTTTACAAACCTTGCAGAGAGTATTTCCCCATGCTGAGCTTGCACTAAAGAAGGACCAACAGCAAGGTAGAACATCTACATCCACTTGTTTTAAAATCTGCCAGAGCAAAAGCTTGTGATCTGTGCAATCAATGTACACAAATGTACTCAGCTGTACTAGCAGCACAATTTTATAATTTGTGTGTGCCCAATGCTGGGTGGGACCTGTGAGTGACATGCAAAAGCAGTCAAGAGCTACACATTCTCTGCTGGAGGACCCTGTTTCTGACAGGAGCTAACATCACATTTACTGCCTGCAGAGAGGAATCTAAGCTTTAAATTATTAGCACCTCTTTTCAAATAAATGCTTAAGGCAGGAGAAATGGTTTTCAAGTGTCTGGGAGCTACATAAGTTGTTCCTAAACAAGGAGAAAAACTCACAAGTTTTTGTCAACAGAGAGATAATACCTGATGCAAATCATGGGACATAGGACAGCTTTGTAGAGACTTGTGCATTCTCCTTTGATTTGTGGTAGAATGAACTCTTCAGGAAATAGCATTCAAATGATGAAATACAAGAGAAGTGTTTTCCAGCACTGATTTTGAAGGTGTATTAATGCAAGACAGAGATGGAATATGCAGGAAACAACCCTCTCTTCTCTTTAAATCCTATTTTAGGAAATTACGTGATTGATAGTGATGAGGAATCACCATCAATCTCTGAAGAGAAGCAGACTCATAAAATGTGTGATCACAAGAAGGCAGAATTCCTCGCTTTCAGCAGGTATGCTTGTCCTTGTTATGGCCCTGTTTTTAAGACAGCTGAGTGTGTAAGCTGTTTGGTGTGAGGGATGCTAGATGAAGGAGCTGAGAGCGTGTGTGGGGCGATCAGTATTTGCCTGACATAAGTGTGAAGGTTCAGCTGGTTACTCCTGTTCTGAGTACTTTGCCCTGACCCATCAAACTGAACTGTTGTGTGGGTATTTGGCTGGACAGTCTCACTCCGGGATTTAAGAGCTATCACTTAACTCAGCCAAAAGAGTAGCAGATGTGCTGGGGAATGACAGGATTTCTAGCAGAGGCAGAGTACCAGTTTGTGAGAAAGTAGGCCTTGATAGTTTTCCTGTTCATGGACCAGCTTATTATTTTGTGGAACCGGGAGAGTATTTCCAAACAAGGTGTATAGGAAAAAACTTTATTGTCTGTTTTCCTATTCATCACTCATTTTTAAACTTGTTTTCTACTTATTGCTGTAGAAATCCTCGTGACCAACCAACGTCTTACAGGCCACGCTTTTTACTAATTGAAGAGCCAGGATCTGGGCAAGCTTCTGATTTGGCAGCTGCAGTAATGCATTCCCTGGAAAAGTTTCCAATTTATACACTAGATACACCAACTTTGTTTGCTAGCACATTACCAGATGAAACATGTGTACAGGTAGCTTTTTTTCTTGTTAGTCTCATAGGAGTAGTGTATAAACTAGTGAAGTAAGCAAAAGTCATTGTCAATATAAGTGGCCTGATTTAAATGTGCTGTTTTGTTTACTTTTGTCTGAAAATCCACTTTTCTACTGGAATGACACCACATAAGGATTTTTTACATAGCCATGTTATCCATTTGAAATGTAACAGGGAGAATATTACTAGCAGCTCAGGAAGATGGGAATTGCTGCTAATAAACCCTTCTCTGTGGCAAGAAATCCTGCTGGTCTCATGTGGGATTTAGAAAGTTGTTTTCGTTGCTTCTTAAGAGTCTGTGCTACCAGTAGATGGCTCTGCATCGATAGCATGTCAATGCACAATCTGTAACCTCTTTTTTAATTATGTCTGTAGCACAGCCAAGGTTTTGAGGCAAATAATTTTTTTGTTTGTTTGAGGTTTTTTTACATATGCAGCAAAAGTGTTAAAATTCGTGGAATACTTAGATTTGTTTGGTGTGGAGTTTTCATTAACTAGGAAAAGGAAATCTAAGCATTTAGTGCTGTTTTGCTTTTTTACTTTTGGGCAGTAAATCCACTTTGTTTTTTGGCATCGCTGTATTAAAATATTTTTATGTCTAGTAGCAGCATTTCAGAGCTGTACAAGTTAGGACAGACACATTATGTGACTGGATACTTATTTGTGACATAGAGGGACCAAGTCTTTTTCAGATTGTTAATCTGAAATGGTGCATGGAGGAGTTTGTTGTGTGAAAGGACTGTTCCACTTCCCTCATGCAGTCAATGCATGTTGTCTTCTGTGATTGAGGTGCCATCTGTAGGCAGTGGTTTGTGTTTTTCCAAAGCCCACCTTTGGTAATGAGAGGCAGTGAGTGATTTAGCTCTTCAGACAGTATAAGGACTGGTCACCTCTTATAAAATATGCTTGAAGTTATGAATTATAGCCAGGCATCTTGTGCTGTGTTAGCCCTCACCTTTTCACATAGGCCTTTGTTTGTTCAGCCTGTGCTCCAGTCTGAATTGGGTGTGTGTCCCTTCTGAACTGAAAATGGTGTAGCTGCAGTTGCGTAGTGATTTCTCCAGGCAAGTACATCTTGCCAAAGGGTTAGCTTTGGGGTTTTTTTCAGGCACATCACTACATTGGCTGAGTTCTTAGGCTCTTCTGAGTTATTCTATACCTAAGTAGTTTTGAAATCAGCCTGAGATTGAGGTCTGTTTCTGTCTGCATAAAAATGTCCATATTGGAGTCAAAGTGCAAATTTTACCTGATTATTAAGGAGTCATTTATCAATTTGTCTTCACGTCTTGTGTTTATACTTCTTATTTATAAGGTAGCTTGACTGATATGTCGTTATTTAGTAGTCTGTTGTACGTGATGGAGCTTTTTTTTTATCCAAAAAACTTTCATTTTACTAGTTGATGCGAGAAGCTCAGAGATCAGCACCGAGTATCATATATGTCCCACAAATCCCTTCATGGTGGGACACTATTGGAACTACACTGAGATCTGTTTTTACAACACTACTGCAGAACATCCCAAGGTTTACTCCAGTTTTATTCCTTGCAACATCTAATGTACAACTGAGAGATCTCCCAGAAGAGGTATTTCAGTCAATACTTTTCTTCCTTTGTTACTCAATTTCTTGTTAATTTATAACTCCCTGAAGCATTAGAGTTATATGCCACCCTTAGGCAAATTTGTAGTTGTTACTCAAGCATTCAAACCCAGTCCCTTAAAACTTGCTTAGACAAAACAGTGCTGAAAGCATTTGCCTAGTATTTTCTGAGTAAAAATTGACTTTGATCCAGCTTTTTCTCCCTTCTCACATACTCAAGATTATTAGACAAATGTATGGACTTGCTTCCAACAATGGTTTTGGTGGCTTCAAGTTGGTTAGCTGTGTCCTTAGTGAAGAGTGTGGTGCTTGAAAAGTAGCTAGGAAAGAAAGACTGTTTTTCTGAAAACATTTTTACTGAAAAGTCAGATGTATTTTTGCTGAAAAAATACAGAGGTCGCACTGTTATTGATGGAATGTAATTTCAAATATAAGTTATTAAAAAAAATAATTACTTCCTTCATCTAGGTGAGAAATCAACATATTAGAAAGCTAAGTTTCAGTTTCTGTTTAAGCAACTTGGAAATCAATTTTTAGGTGTATTCTTTAACAAAATTCCTCAAGAAGACATGCTCAGCCTTGTAGACATGTGAGACTGCCCATTAAAGGAAGGTGTTCAAAATGTGAATGTGTTGCTTGGATTATTTTGTTTCAGTAACAGAAGTTTTCATACTGTTAATAAGTGCTTCTAAAATAAGGATTGAAATCCCTTCCGTAACTTTTGGTAGTAGAAATAGAAGAATGGAATACAACTTGGAAGTATTCAAATTGAGACACTTCATTTAAATTAATTAAAAATAAAATCAGAGAAAGCCCAAACACCTTACCAAAAAGCCAGCACTTGTCCTCTGAGCCTTGCCATTTTCCCTCTGTAGCTTGCCATAAAGATTCAAGCCAAAGGACAGCAAGACACAAAAATGGAAAATAAGCAGCCTTTGGGATGGTGAATCTCCAGTCACCCCTTTCTCAGTTGTTTATCATTCAGTTTCTTCATGTAGCTTAAAATCTAGAATGTGATCCTTACAGAAGGCACTTTAAATTGCCATGCTGTAAAAAACCTAGTCTTTTAAGGCCACAAAGATAACTGTTAATTTATAGTCTTGTCCAGATAAGTATTCAGTTTAATTCAGAGAGGTACTCATTTTTTTGGAACAGAATATAAGAAGTTTGCATGGCCTTGTATAACTGAAGTGTATTTTCTCTTCATGCCTTAGATAAAAGCATTGTTTAATAATGAATATGAAGAAGTTTTCAGAATCCCGCGTCCGACCTGTGCTGAGAGAAGACGTTTTTTTGAGGACTTAGTTATGAAGCAAGCTGCTCAACCTCCTGCATTAAAAACCAACACAAGTGAGGAGGATGTTCTACATACAAAACTTTGCTAACTCTAGATTAACAGTTAATAAAGTATTTGCTTGGGTGATAATTTCCTATCAGTCATTTTTCATGTGCTTATATATGAGTACCATCAATTAACTACAACTTTCTGATTCAATTAAGCTTGCCAGCCTTTAGAGGTGCTGCCTGTAGCACCACCACCTAAACCTCGAAAGCTGACAGAGGAAGAAATAAGACAGTTGGAAGAGCAGGAAGAGGATACGTTGCGTGAACTCAGGATTTACTTAAGAGATGTTGCTCAAAGACTTGTCATTGACAAACGTTTCAAAGTATTTACAAAGCCCATTGTTTCAGAGGAGGTTAGTATTGACTTATAATACCATTATAACAGTGTGTATTCATAATTCCTCTGTGTTTATGTTTCTTGGTGTTCTTGTGCTCTTTCTAGGAAGGTTTATCTTTCATGTTAGGACTGTACTATTCTGATTTTCCAAGAAGAAAGAAGTGAATTTTGCTTTTGCTTGACTCCTTGAGACTCTCAAATGTTTATTATTTGAGTATTCATTGAAAGCCCTATATTCTTTCTAAAAGGTCTTTAAAACTTTAGAATATTTCAGTTAGAGGGGATCTACAAGGATGGTCTAGTCCAAGTGCCAGTTACACCAAATGCCAACACAATTTGCCCAAGGAAAAGTTTGGATACATAGGTATGTTACAGCACTAAAAAGTAGAGGGATCACTTTATATTTATAAAAAGTACCTCAAGGGTTGCTTTAATAAAGTCTAAAGCTCTTTGATTAAATAGTTTCTGAGAGAACAGGAGTAGAAGCAGCAGTTTGTCAAATAAATTTTCAGATACTATTCCAGTTTCATCTGGGGCTTTTCTCAGTACATAATCAGCCATAAGGGCTGCATGTTTTTTCTTGCTCCCATACACTTCCCATTGAATTTATTGAATAAGTCTCTGCCAGAGGCATGTACTTCAAAGTCAGTTGCAGTTTTAAGATAGCTGTGCATTTCAGCAAAGTCCCATTCCCCTAAGCATCCACTCACTTGTCTTTTTCTTTCCTTGTAGTTTCCAAGGTATGAATAACCTATAAACATATAGATCATCCAAAGCAGTCATTAGGCTCCTTTTAAGCTCTGAGTAAAGAAATTGACATTTCTGAGTCCAGTTATCTCATTCTAGAGTAGATGCATAGGACAGATGCTTCAAAGGTGCAAATTCTGCCATTTTTTCTTGCTGCCAACAACAAAGAGAATCCAGGGTGACATTACTGAGAAAGATTTCTCTGCTGAGATTTTCTGAAAGGAAGTGAAATGCATCCTGCCAGTTCCCCTCTCTGCTCCACATATGCTTCTGACCACCCTGCTTCTTTTTTCCCTCTCTCCTGGTCTGTCTCTTCAAAGACACCTGAAATACCTTTTCCATTTTCAAGAAGCTGGTTATTTTCTGCATCTTTGAGGGTGTTAGAAATATTTGGGTCTTTTATGAAGTCCTTTATTTGACTTCATGAAAGTCATTAATTTTTGTAGCTTAAATCTCTGAGTATACATATTTAATTTGTAGGCACCCAATAACAAGGACACCATTAAACAGCCCATGGACCTCTTGACAGTTCTCTCCAAGATTGACATGCACCAATACTTAACTGCAAGAGATTTTCTAAAGGACATAGATCTAATCTGTAGCAATGCTTTAGAGTACAAACCAAATAAAGGGCCTGCAGGTATGGGTGTATTTTTTATCCCTAATTTGAAAAAATTTCAGATGTATAAATTGATAGATTTTGTCTGTGGAAATTTAGTAATCCCACAATGGATATAGTATCAGATAATTTTAAAGAACCCCGTTAGACAATTTTAAACAACCCCAGAGAGCATTTCTTGCCAGGTTGTAAATGTTTTAGTATTAGATATATTGTTTGGGTATGGAATAGTGATAGATGTGTTCATTGGTAACAAGTACTTTTTCTTAAATAATAACTTCTCTGGTTTTATGCTGAAAGTCTGTGATAACCTTTCAGAACCTGCAAATATAAAAATAAAAAATCATTCTAATTAACCAAAATAAAGAGTTTCATTGACTGGTAGAAAATGCTCAGTTCTGGCTGTAAAATTTCAGATCATCTCCTGAGGCACAAAGCTTGTACTTTGAGTGATACTGCATATTCCATAGTGAGGAATGAAATGGATGAAGGTTTTGAGCAACGCTGCCAAAAAATTAAAGAATCTCGTAAGGAAAGAGGTACGTTTTTTGATGGTACACTCAGGATTTTAGAGACTTGTCTCATGCTTTGTAACAAGCCACACAAGACCCAATTTTTTTCTCTGCGGGTGTAAGAGAGAAAACCCAAAGTGTAATGAGAAATGGAAGATGCCCACCTGTGGACACCAGTACCTCCTGCTCTAATGGCAAGTTGCATTTCATTCAGACTTTCTCGGAGAAGGTGCTAAAGTCACTGCTACCTTCTCTGTTCCTGTGGCCTAAAAGCAGGTTCCTGTGATGCTTGGTTCTTCATGACAGAGGCATTGAATTTTTCATTATGTTGCTTCAAATTGTGGGGTAAATCCTGAGGTCATTTATTCAGTATGGTTCTGAAATTGAATGCACTGGCTGCATGACATTGTAAGAGCCTGGCCTTGATGTCCCAACTGACATTTAATGGCACTTATAACTTGAAGTTCAAAACATTGTCTGTGTCTGTTTTGAATATTCAGCTAGTTTTCAGTTACATGAAATTGTTTTTCCCTATCCTGCTTATAATATATCTAATAGAGAACTGATCTCATTAACTTGCAACCTTTTCTCTAGACACATGTAGGGAGATGGTACTGAAGCTCCTGTGGTTATTTTCCTTGCAAGATACTGCTGCTGTGTTTTGAAGAAAGAACTGCTTTGGGAATGTTTTGGATTACTTTCTTTGGTACTTCTTTGTAGATAAGTCAAAAAGAAAATGCAAAATGAAGGAAGACTCTTCAAATATCTCAGTAAAGAGGGAGAATGTTCAGTTTGTATCCTCCCAGGACAGTCCTATGGAAGAACATGAAAATGTACTTCAAGGACAACAGAAAAATGTGACAGAAAATGAAAGTGAGAGAGTGACCCTTGTGGCTAAATCCCCTGCTGGAGAAAAGAGTGTCATGTTTCCTGAATGTTCAGACCTAAGAGAGGAGAGTGAAATGCCAGATTGCCAAATAGCCAGAACTGTTGAAGATGCAGGTTCAAGTGGTAAGTGAAAGGTCAAACAGCTAATTTAGCTCCTTTTTGTTCTTGAGGAGGGTTACACTATTTATTAGGTTTTAGCATTCTTGAATGTCATTCTGTTACTTCTTTTGTGTCTCTCTCAAATCAACACACAGTGTTCCTTGCATAATGATGTTACTCCTGTAGTTATGTTGGCTACAGACATGGTCTTTTACAGTGGCTGTTTTTTTTTTTTTGATTCTATAGTTTGTTTTTCAAATGATACTGAATTGTACAGGTGTTTCCCAGAAATAAGCAGCCTAACTGTACTGCTGTACTTAAAACACCAGTGTGGACCTGGAGAACCCTGTGGAATAGAAGAATTATGTCTTACTGTTTGAAATGTAAGATGTGTAGATGTGTTTCCTAACCTAAAATACTACTTTTTTAGACTGTTTTTTTCAACTTCAGGTTTACTGTTCAGTGCTGTAGTGGCAGCATGAATATTTTTTCTTACTTTTACCCTGCCTTTTTTCTCTAGTGCTTTTTTTCATGTCTGAGTTCCTAGTTTTTATGGAGCACCACTAGAAAGATAGAAGTCAAGCATTTCTCTGTAAAAAAAATGGATAACAATTCTGTCTCTGTTATTGCAGAGGGCTAGTCTTTTCCAGGTACAGGATACTTCACTGATACTGTATTACAGATAAAGAGAAATGTTGATTTCAAAAATGTGTGTAATTCCAGATTCACAAGTACATCATGCAACTTGTGTGGGACATTCTCAACTGGATGAGCAACTGCAAGTATGTGGTGGGGAAGCAAGGAAATTTCACACACAGGGAGTGTCTGTGGATTATTCTGAACTCAGAGTAAGTCTAATTTCAATTTTGTTGATACTGAAGTAGGATGTTTTCTTGCTACCTGTATGGTTGTCAATCAAGTCACTTGTTAACCAATGCCAATTCAAACAATTCACGAGAGGGATCTATAGCTTGTGAAATAATTCAGCCTGTAATGACTGTTGGTTCCAGAGGTGGTGTTGATGGCTGCTTTTGGTTTTGGTGAATTGAATTTCAGGAGACTGTTCTCTTCCTAATTTTCAATGTAAAAGTGTTTGTTAAGTTTGAAGTTAGCTCACGGTCAACCTGCTACTACTGTTGGTTAGCAGTTTTTATGATGGACTGGGGAGATGGGTATTTTGGTTTGCTGTTTGCATGCTTTCATTAATTAGGACCTGGAAAAGGACCTTGATTTTTAGCAGTGGTGACTTTAAACCTGAAATTAGAAGGTTGACCAAAAGATCATCCTGGATAAAATACTAATATCTGCGTTTCTCAAATGCTTTCAAAATTCAGTGTTAGAATTTTGCATGCATACAGTTACACGTTTTTTCTAGTCCCCTGTAGGATAGAAGTTGTTATCCTAAGGTATAGTCAGGGAAAGGATCAAATATGGGCCTAGCTGCAGAGAGGAAAAAGAGGTTCCTTTGCATGAACTGGAGAGGGTGGAAGAATGACCTGCCCTTCAGGGGATATAGTCAGAAGAAAAATTCAGGAAATTACTAGGTTGAATTTCTGGAGGTCAGTCAAAGTAGAAGAAGCTGCTGTTTACCTGCCATGATGAGAAAGGGAGTATTACTAGGTTGTTTCCCTTGTGAGGGTAGAAAGTCCCCTTTGGTAAAAGGGGTCACCAGCATAATTTCTATCACATTTTTAAGTGTTGATCTGAACTATAGAGGTTAAATTAACTTTCCAAGATGGCTTCCAAAGGAAGCAAATTTCAGGGGTTTGTGTTGTTCATGGCTGCTTGTATATTTAAAAAAGCTACATGGTTTTCTTCTAGAATCAGGATGCTAATGGCATGTAATCTGAAATTATTGCCTACTGAATGGAGAAGTGGTAGAGTAGAGCCCTTACTGATGTTTCTGCTCATATGTGTTACAGCTGTGAGGAGAGGGCTACAGCCATGAAATGCATCTTTTAGAAGACTTGTTTCCTTAACATGGGTGTCATTGGAACTCACTGCTTGTAGCAGAGAGCCCCTCCAAAATGGATCTGCTTGGTTTTGTACGGGGTTTTTGTTTAGTTGATTTTATTTATTTTCTTGGGGGTTTCTTTTGTATGTGTGTTCACTTATTTGCTCGATATTAGGTGTAGAACTCAAATCTTGTGATTGGTGATGTAAGGGAGGCTGAGTCTGAAGGCAAGCAGGTGTGAGGCTGTAATATTTTTATTTGGTGTGGCTGCACTCTTCAGCTACATCTGTACAGCCTCTCTCAACACACAGCTACTGAACAGCCCCAGCAGTGCTGCTTGTCAGTGTTGCTTTCCCCAGATTACCACATTCAGGTCTTTGGTAACACAAGGAACTGTGTGAGAGATTGGTAATTTCCTACAGACTGCTCTGCTAGTTCATCCACTCTTGAGTTGAAGGGTAGGAGCTGACTCATGTTAGTCACAGTACAGATTCAGCTAATGGGTAGAGGTAAGCACCTAAGGATGCTTCTGTTTCCATCTGGTACAGCCCTGTCTGGGAGATCTGTAGGCTTATTTGTAAAAACACATTTTCTAGGGCCCTGTATTGCATTTCTAATGAAATGCAACCATGACTTCCCTGAGGCAGCTCCTCAGTGACAAAGTGGATCATGTCATTCCCCACTGTTCTAGAAGCAGTTGAATCACAGTTATGATCACTGATGTCATATAGTGATGAGTAAGAAAATCCTGTCTGAAATGAAAGCTTTTTCTCTGATGTGTGGAATATTAATTTGCTTCCTCCAATTAAATCTTTTGAGATACTCAATCAGTTTTCTGAAGTGCCACTTCTATTTAACAGTATAAGAAAGTAGGATGTATCTTGTGCTATTCTGAATTGCAGTTTCTATTTTTTTGCTTCAGCAAGTGCTGGATTTGGTCATTGTAGCAACAGAGAATGTCAGTATATCTCGCATGGAAAGACTGTATGCTCTTCTTAGCCAGTGCATTTACCGACATCGGGAAGACGATGACAAAACTGCGTTAGTGAAGGTGAATTTTTTGTCTTGGAGCCCTTTGTGTCACATGCTATTATACATGTGTGTATTTCTGTGGGTGCACTGTGAACATCATGCTTATTTGGCATTACTCTGTACAGCTTGGTTGCCTGTCTCTCAAGGCTTTCATTTCAGTCTGGAAAACATTTATCCATATTGCAAAACCTTTGTTGTATGTAGCATAATTTTTGGCAGTTTCAGCAGGAAAAGGCTTGAAGGCAATGGGTCCACCCACTCAGGGCTCTCAAACCATTTAACCTCAGTCTGTCAATAGTCTTCTCCAGAAGCCTTTCAGGGGTGGGAGGTTGTGAAAGGAGGGTGCATTTCTCAGTGTGTCGCTTCCTCTTTCCCCTCTTGCAGACAGGCACATGTGGTAATGCTTGTATAGTACTCATTCCATTCTTGAAAAGAAGTTAAGTATAAAGCATAACAAGAACTTGAGATTTTTCTAGTCTCACCACATTTTATTTTTAGCTAGCATGGCCCAAGCATCTTTAATTTGACAAATGGGGAGTTTTCTGCCTATGATAGTTTGCTAATGAGTCAAATTCTCTAATCTTTGCCTCTAAGAAAGGATTTCTGAGTTGTCAGAACTAGGCAGAAATCTTCCACAGGAACCCATGGTCCCAGTTGGGCATTCCCAGTATTCAGTTCATTAAGATAGGTTGGATATTCAATCTTCAGCTTCAAGGCCCTTAAATTCATTTGTCTTTCAGATGTTTGTGCCTGAGAATAGATAAAATTTGTTATGCCTCTCAGTCTGCCTTAAAAAATTGAGCAAGCCAGCAAGCCTGTTCTCTTTGGCCCTAGTCATCTCAATCTCTTCTTCCACAGATGATGAAGAGTTAGAATAGACTGTGTTCTGATTGTGCAGGCCAGTCCTGAAAAATGCACCCACCCTTCTTCTCTCATAATGATGTGGTTTGGTGTGAATAGGGACCTGTTTATGTTATTTCAGTGCTTTTGAGCTTTTGTGACTGGACTTGATTTTTTTGTTTGTTTTCTACTTCTACCTTAACAAAAAAATACCTCCTCTTCAGAGTACCTCCATGAGTTGATCAGGAGAAACCTTTGCTGTATATGAAAAAAGATTTTAACAAGTACTTAATCAGAGTGCAGAAAAGAACAGTTCCAGCTTCTAGTTGTGGCTCTTTGGGAACTGCTTCTTTTCTCATTTTTGAAACCATCATTGAGAGAGATCCATAGTCCCATAATACAGATTCCTCCAGTCTCTCTAGCCTACTCTGTATTTTGGGTGTCTAAGGATTTGTTTGATGCTAACCAGTCTAGAAAGATGTTAGCACATGTATTGGCTAAACATTACTAATAATTGTAATTATCAACAGACTCTTGATTCTTTTGATGAAGAAGCAAACAGGGTTCTCTTGCTTTCATTCACACTGTGACTCCTAATTTGTCTTTTTTTTCTTGTTAGGCAATGAAGAAAGAAATTGCAATGTTAAGTTATCTGTGATACTTGACTTCAGTATATTCTAATGTCGATGTACATCTCCCAAATGGAAAAAATATGTTTAATGTCTCAGTAATTGCAGCAACTAAGAACAGAAGAATAGAAGAAAGAAATATCTTTTACCATATGAAGGAAACCAGACATAACCTCCACTCTGACTATGGATCATCACCTTGCACACTGGGTGAAAGCCCCTTTCAAGACAACAATGTTTACTTTCCATGGAAACATCATGAAATTCTTCTAGAGGGTCCTGATTCTGACTCCTGATATTGTCACAAAGCTTCCAAATATTTTTGTCACTGTAAGATGCAGGAACTGATTTTATTTTTCCTTTAACTTCTTCCTCTAATTTCTGATGAAGAGAAGTGAGCTGGGATGCTGGGATGTTCTGGGTTCTGCACCTTGTACGCAGCAACCTTGGTTGTGTGTACAGACTGGAGAATGAGATGCTGGAAAGCAGTGCCACAAAAAGGACCTGGGTCCTGGTTGATGGTTGAATCTGAATCAGCAGTGCCCTAGCAGTCAGGAGGGCCAAGCATGTGCTGGGGTGCATCAGGCACAGCATGGTCAGCCAGGCAAGGGAGGGGATTGTCCCGCTCTGCACTGGAGCAGCCTCACCTTGAGTTGTGTGTGCAGTGTTGGGCTCCTCAATATCAAAAGAACATTAAATTATTACAGAGTGTCCAAAGAAGGGCAAACAAAATTGTGAAGGGCCTTGAAGGACAGCTGTGTGAGGAGCAGCTGAGGTCACTTGGTCTGTTCTGGAGCCTGGAGGAGCCTGAGGGGAGACCTCACTTCAGTCTACAATGCCCTCATGAGGGGAAGAGGAGGGGCAGGCACTGAACTTTCCTCTATGGTGACCAATGACAATACCCAAGGGAATGGTCTGAGGCTGTGTCAGAGGAGGTTTACATTGGATATTAGAGAAAATTCTCCACCCAAAGGGTGGTTGGGAACTGGAATGGGCTCCCCATGGAAGTGGTCACAGCACCAAGCCTGATAAAGTTCAAGAAGAGTTTGGACAATGCTCTCACACATGTGGTGGAGTTCTTGGGGCTGGCTTGTCCAGGGCCGGGAGTTGGACCTGATGATCCTTGTGAGTCCCTTCCAAGTCAGAATATTCTGTGATTCTGTGGGAATCAGTACTGAGATCAGCTCCCAGCTATGGCAGAGGCTGGCAGAGGATGCCATTCCTGCTTGTGACTCTGGCTACCCTGTCACCTCACAGGGGTGAGGGGAGCACTCACTTGCCCCATCCTTGTCCCCCAGCGGCCCTTACCAATAGCAGTGGTGTAGCCATGGGCAGGTTGGACCACACTGCTGCCTTGCAGGTGGCCAGCACAGGGATGTTGGAAGTAGATGATCTTTAAGGTCCTTTTCAGCCCAAACCATTCCAGAGAATGTGTGGCCAACTGAATATATGTATGTATGTGAATATATATGTATAGATATGGTATATACATGTGCTCCCTGCATGTGCCTACGGAGAATAAAGCTTTTGCATGCTTATCAAGTGAGTATTAACTATTAACATAGCCTAAACTCATTTTTTTTTCAGTTCTCTTCTGGCCTTTAGAAGGAAATAGAGAAGGAGAAATGAAGGATATGAGTATAGCCCATGGGTAGTCTGAACTTGACTTTAAATAGGCCTGACAGAACTCTATGCTGGAATGTAGAGCTTCTTCAGCAGGCATAAAGACTATAAAGTTTTTAGTCTTCAACAGTGTTAGATTAAGTAAATTTTTTATGTATATCTTGGAAGATATGCTGAGATCCAATATAATTTCTTACTACTGTTTACATCGCTTATCACTAGTTTGCACTGTTGCTGCAAATGTGTTTTGGAATATGTTCTAGCATCTCAGGAGTTTCAGTCCTCTCCAAACATTCTCCATTGTTTGTTTTTTTTTCTCCCACAAACAGTAGAAATTGCAGTAGTTTCATTTCCTTGTTCTGAAGGCTTGCTTTGCTTTTACATATCTGCATGAACTGGTCTTCTATGATTTCCGTATTGCCTCAAGTGGAATTAAGAACCCTATTAAAAAGTATTTATCAGAGAAGTTATGAAGGTGGAAAAAAGAAGTAATCCATTGAAAACTCCAAGATTCCTTATCAAAGTTTTTGCATTGTTAGTCCTTTTTAGCCCTTTAGCTATCTTTTCTGCCTAAAAGGCACACTTTCAAAGCTGCTGAGCTTTTTCAGGTGTGTTGAATTACAGTCTTTTTTTGCATGACAGAGCTACTTCTTGGCTCACAAACTGTAATTCCTCCTAAGTATGACAGCACAAGGTTTTGTTTTTTTTTTAATCTTGCTAGCAGTGCTGAACCATCACACAAGTTGAACCAGTAGACTTTAGATTGAGATATATTAAAATTCTCACAACCATGAAACATACATTTAGTTATAATAGAGGTTATATTGTATTATATGCAGTTATTTTGGAACCAAGGGGAAGGAAATTGTTGAATACTCTTGATATATGTGTATATTTTAGCATCAGCTAAAATGATGCTCTGCTGTAATTACCTTTTCATATTAGTCAATGGCAATAGTTATGAGATATAGAATGATGGAAAAATTGAAATAACAGAGCTCAAAGGTTCTTTTAAAATAACATTACTGAAATTATTTGTCATATATAGAAATACAGGATAGACCAGACTTCTGGTAGAATACTGAGTAAAATAACAGATTTTGGAAAATCACATCTGCCTAGAAACTACTGGCAGTAAATTTCCATTTGGTGAAGGCTTTTATTTACAAGTAAGCCAAGGTTATGCAAGGATAATACCATGTAGACATTTCACAGATTTATGGGTGTTTTCCTGAGCCAATAATACAGAAGCAATTAGATGCAGTAAACTTATGAGAAGGCAAAAAGACATGGGTGAGGCTGCTCTGCAATAGAAAATAGTTGTAGTTCTGAAACCATGTTCTTAGTCCTCTGGGCATGCATCTGCTGTGGTTTCAAACTGTTTGGACTTTACAAAAGTGGCAAGGCTGAATCAATGACTCCCCTGTCACATTCACAGGCCATGTGAGTGCTGGGGAATTCCCATGGTGACATCTAAACACAACATTTCTGTATTTCAACAGCCTCCTTGGGAGATCTGGAGGTCTCTACCTAAGCATATGGCCCCTTTGTGGATATTGTTTCTTCCAAGGGGACAGATTTCCTTATGGAACTTTGATCAGTGGGAAGGGAAGAATTTTCTGATTAATTGAATAGAGAAAGAAAAAGAGAAAATGAGTCTAATTTCCTGGGACCTGATTAGGAGCAGGGTATTATCCAACATATATGTTCCCATTTTGCTCTTTCTAACTTAGATTTCTTGATTCAGTATTAAAGATTTCAACTGCCTTCTTGTAAGTAAATCCATTTTATGGAATAAAATGAAAGGGCAATTTAAAAATAAATGAAAGGCTAAATTTCTCCTGTTGAGAGTACTATTGGCACTTGTAGGATATTTGTATGACTTCTGAAGCTTAAACTATAGATCTTTTTGTATGCTTTAAATACT